GCCCAGGGTGAGAACTTCAGTACATAACAGTCATCTTCCAGATGTGCAAAGAACCACCCTCTCGACACTAAACGTGACAGCAAGCCTCACACTCAGATCTGAAGCATAAATGGGAACCTAGGAAGCTGTCCTATAAGGAGTCGGACCCACTACTCCATCTAGCTTAGTAATGTCAACACTGATTGGGAGCAGTTTGCCAGAGTTTCAGGCCTGGAGAAGCCGGGCATTGAACCTGTGGTGTTCTGCATGCAAAGCCACTGAGGTTACAGCTGTTCCCTTTAAAAACAAACTAAGATTGTAGTCCTCATGGTTCTGAAGAAAGGGCTAAGTTAAATAGGAACAGAGGGACCTTCCCTGTACCACGTCAGGACCCGTGAGCCCATTGGGCTCAGTTTTGTCTTGACTGATGGGCAGAGGCTCACCAGGGTTTCAGGAGACACACCCTCAGCCCTACCCGGAGAAGCTTTCAAGGACTGAACTTGGGATCTTCCCCATTGAGCTCTGATGGCTCCCTCCCTTCTCCTCCCCTCCTCCTCTGCAGGAGGCCTTTCTTGGCTTGTCGTTATAATGTATATATGTCAAGGGCTTTGAGATGCATATAAAGTCAGGCTCAGCATTATTAACTGGACTTAGTTAAGCCATGGTTCCCCCTTCCTAGCCTCCTCTGAGGCTTGCTTTAAAGCAGCAAAGCAGACAGGAGCCGCCCGCTTTGCTGCTTTAAATAGCTTAGTACAACATTTGATTCAGAATGTTTTTGTGTGTGTTTTCCTCCTCTAAAAACTAGATGCGCCTTATGGTCAGGTGTTCCTTATGTGGTCAGGTGTGCCTTGTGGAGCGAAAAATACAGTATTTTTATCAGGGTCCAGTCCTTTTCCTTTGGCCTCAGAACACAACTTAAAAAAGTATTAGAAACAGCTAAAATCAGTAAGGCAATGAATGGGGAAGGAATTCCATGGGGTCACCTTAACTCAGCCTCTGTCAAGAGCTGCTACGATTGCCAAATAACCTGAAAGATTATTGCTTTGTGCCTTTGACAGCAGCTTGTTCTGTGAAGTCACACAGTGAAACTTCATTTTGTATGAAGATAAATGTTTCTGTCGGATATTGTCCACTCATCAACCTGATTCAAAAAGCACAGATACAAGATATCATAATCAATGCTGCAAGATTTTAATTTTAACTGACAAGCTGTTGCAGGACCTCAAACCGATTAGTCAGCATTTGCAGTGTAGGAGAAGCCTCTGGAGTCATTTTGGATCACCAGCAATACTAAGATCAAACATAGCAATGAAAAATCAAAGACTGAACAATTATTTTATGAGTTTCTTACTTCCTCTATAGAACTTTCAACTGCTGGTGGTTGATGGGGTGTTGTTCCTGAATTTTGGTGTCCTTTGTGTTATACAACCAATGCTTGGACTTTGTGCCAAGCTTCAGTCCGGACAAATTGGGGATTGGACCTTGAGCAAGTGCAATATGTGGTGCAGTGATGGTGAAATAAGGTATAAGCTGTTGGATGCTAATGCTGAGCTTGCACAATATTTGAGCTCAGTGTTGCCTATGTCTATAGATGTAAATAGGATCATACTGTTCCTCTTTATTAAGCTGTTCAATAAGCAGCTAGCTAGAGCTATTCTTTATACTTCTTTTAGCTTGCCTCTGCTCCAAGCAGCTCATTGCATAATGCAAAATTTCTCCTTTCCCACAATAACACTGTGAGGGAGGCTAAATAGAGCAGTGGCAACATAAGGAGTCTTCTAGTGAACTTCTTGGTGGAGCAGGAATTAGAAATATCCTCCTCCAAGTCCTGCCAGGGGTGTTTGTGCCTTCCGTTCCGGAAGTCCGTTCAACTTCCAAAATGTTCGGAAAACAAAGCGTGGCTTCTGACTGGCTGCAGGAAGCTCCTGAAGCCAATCAGAAGCCAATCAGAAGCCGCACCAGATGTTTGAAAATCATTCCAGTTTTCGATTGTTCAGGAGCCGAAATGTACAAGCTCCAAAGCGTTTGGCAACCAAGGTACGGCTGTACTTTAATTGTATATTAGCACCTGTTGTTGTTTCTTTGCTTATTATGATAGTAGTTAATAAAACTTGCTTCTACTGCCTAAAAGTTTGAGATCCAAAGAACTCGCTGCTGCCTCAGGATGACCAGGGCTGGGTGGTCATTGGGGAGGCATAACCACTGGGCATTACACAGTTGTCCAAATGAGCCAACAAGCTGTGGATGGAAAACAAGTCTAATTGCATATTTTAGGATCCTAATGAGAGGCAGATTTGGTCATCAGTACCTTAAGGAGAAGTAATTTATTATTATTATTATTCTGAACTATTGTCTGATGCAACTGAAACTGCAATGCTTTACCACTCATTTACTTAGGAAAAAATACATTAAACTGTGGGACTTCAGACCAAATGGACACTCTCAATTTTACCCGTGGATGCTATCTGTCCAGATTTTAATTTGCTTCTGAACTAATTTTAAGATGTATTTTAACTAATTGATTGCCTGTTTTTATGTTCTTATGTTCTTCGTATACCATCTTAGTTTCATGATGTTAGCTGCCCTCAGCCCAGCTCTGGCCAGGGAGGGTGGGACACAAATAAAAATTTATCTATCTATCATCTATCTATCTATATCTATCTATCTATCTATCTATCTATCTATCTATCTATCTATCTATCTATCTATCATCTATCTATCTATCTATCTATCTATCATCTATCTATCTATCTATATCTATCTATCATCTATATCTATATCTATCATCTATCTATCTATCTATCTATCTATCATCTATCTATCTATCATCTATCTATCATCTATCTCTATCTATCTATCATCTATCTATCTATCATCTATCTATCTATATCTATCATCTATCTATCTATCTATCTATCTATCTATCTATCTATCTATCTATATCTATCTATCTATCTATCTATCTATCTATCTATCTATCTATCTATCTATCATCTATCATCTATCATCTATCATCTATCTATCTATCATCTATCTATCTATCTATCTATCTATCTATATCTATCATCTATCTATCTATCTATCTATCTATCTATCTATCTATCTCTATCTATCTATCTATCTATCTATCTATCTATCTATCTATCTATCTATATCTATCTATCTATCTATCTATATCTATCTATATCTATCTATCTATCTATCTATCATCTATCTATCATATCTATCTATCTATCTATCTATCTATCTATCTATCTATCTATCTATCATCTATCTATCTATCTATCATCTATCATCTATCATCTATCATCTATCATCTATCATCTATCTATATCTATCTATCTATCTATCTATCTATCTATCTATCTATCTATCTATCTATCATCTATCTATCTATCTATCATCTATCATCATCTATCTATCTATCATCTATCTATATCTATCTATCTATCATCTATCTATCTATCAATCATCTATCTATATCTATCTATCTATCTATCATCTATCATCTATCTATCTATCATCTATCTATCTATCTATCTATCTATCTATCTATCTATCTATCATATCTATCTATCTATCTATCTATCTATCTATCTATCTATCTATCATCTATCATCTATCTATCTATCATCTATCATCTATCTATCTATCATGCCATGTCAGGCAAGCTTTCCCCCTTTATCACGCCTTTAAGTTCTCAATGGTTTCAGCACTCCAAGTTATTGACATCCACACTATGTAAACAATAAGCGAACTGACAAAAATTTAGCCATGTGGAAAGTTCTTTTCTTTGGCATCCAAAATAGTTCCAGATGTTCCTCATTTGATTTAGCTATCATAGGGAGCACTGGCGGAGGAAGAGGAGTGCGGGGGGAGTGCGCCGCCCCTGGCAGCGCGATCCCAGTGGGGTGCCATCGCGGCTCCCCCCTGCCCCAGCTGGGCACCACACCCCCAGGACCCCGTCTACTCTTTGCCCCCCGGTGCTGGAGCATGAAGCTCTGCAACTGATAGGAAGAGATGCCCGGAAGGCAATCTTTCCCCAGAAGATTAAATTTGTCTCCTGTGTTGTTACAGGTCTAATATTTCATTAGTTTATTTCTAATATGCAGGTTGCAAATCATTCTAACCGCTCTTTCTGCACACCAGCAGCAGAAAGGAAACCTACGGGACCACCTCTCCTGGTATGCCCCGCAGAGGACCTTAAGGTCCATAAATAGCAACACTCTCAAGGTCCCGGGCCCTAAGGAAGTCAGATTGGCCTCAACCAGGGCCAGGGCCTTTTCAACACTGGCTCCAGCCTGGTGGAACGCTCTGTCTCATGAGACCAGGGCCCTGCGGGATCTGATTTCTTTCCGCAGGGCCTGTAAGACAGAGTTGTTCTGCCTGGCCTTTGGCTTGGAATCAGCCTGACCCCTCCCCCTCTTTCCTTTTCCTTCTGTGATGGAACTCCTATTTGGGGATTTCCCTGACTTTTTTCTGGCCCATGGAGGACCAGTCTGGATAGTTGGCCTTACTGAAGATTTGATGTTTCCTCCCCCCAAAGAGTTTTTGATCTGGGCTTCCACTGAAATGAGGCTGCATTTTAAGTTGTACTTGAATCCTGTTCAAGTTGTATTTTAATCAATTGCTTTTATACCTGATGTTAGCCGCCTTGAGCCCGGTCTTGGCCGGGGAGGGTGGAGTATTAATATATATAAATAAATCTTTAAAAGTCATTTGTGGAGTCTTTCTCTATATATGTACTAGAATTCATGCACCAAAGCAAGCTGGCCGGGTCCAGCCTCACCCTTCCTACTCTAGTTGAAATGTAATTTTACAAGCACTCTGCCCATCTTTCTATCAGAAGGAGGGATGTGCTTCCGCAAGAAAGTTACTCTCAACCCCAGGCTTTCTTCTTGCTCTAGACAAATGATTTATCTGCTCTATCCATACATTCCCTCACCAACAGATTTCCCAATTAGTTTAAAGAAGGCAGTTAAGTTTCACCAATCATTGCCAGAAGGGAGGAGCTCCCTTTGCAGCCAGTAGAGTATGAAAAACAGCAGCAGGCAGAAAAGGAGCAACTGCGAACGGGAGAAGGAAGCACGGCTTTTCCTGCCACACAACTGAAGCTGAGAGCCTTTCCTCTAACCAGCTGCAGGTCTGTCTCTTCCCTTTTCAAAATAAAGTAAAATAAAAATTGTCCAGCAGCACCTTATAGACCAACTAAGTTTGTTTTGGAAAAGCTTTCGTGTGGATGTGTAAGAAGTGTGCAGACACACGGAAGTTTATACCAGAACAAACCTATAAGGTCTATAAGTTGGTCTATAAGGAGCTACTGAACATTTTTTTATTATTATTTTGACTGTGTGAGACCCACACAGCTACCTACCTGAATCTTCCCTTTTCAATTATACATGATAGTAACTTCCTGTCTCCACTAACATGTCCTTATAACAACTTTATTTCAAGCTAATATTCAGTAGGTGACACTTTTCTCAAGCTTCAGGCTGGGGGAGAGAGGAAGCTTCACTTCCTGAATTTCTTCTTCCTGGGCACCCTTTAAAGGCCGAGAAACATTTCCAGAAAAAGTTCAGAACTTTAAAAGGTACATGCAAGTCATTAGGTTAACTTCTGATCAGCTTGCTAGACCTGTTATTCTTTTAGCCTGCCTCTGCTCCAAGCAGCTCATTGCACCATGCAAAAATTCTCCTTTCCCTCAACAACACTGCAAGGGAGGCGAAATTCAGCAGTGGCAACATAGAAGGTCTCCCGCTGAGCTCTGTGGTGGAGTAGGGATTCGACTTTTGCCCCTCCAAGTCCTGCCAGGGGTGTGTATGCTTCCTAATGCTTGAATTCTTTTTCCCTGCAGGTTTCAGCCATGTGGCTCTACCTGGCTGCCCTGCTGGGGCTTTACTTCCTTCGCCGATGGTACCAGGAGAGACAGAAGGTGGAGAACCTGACGGAAAAATTTGTCTTCATCACGGGGTGTGACTCTGGCTTTGGAAACCTACTTGCCAGGCAGCTGGATGCCCGGGGCCTGCGGGTGCTGGCAGCCTGTCTCACGCAGAAGGGGGCAGAGCAGCTGGACAAGGTCACCTCAGAGCGCTTGAAAACCTCCATTCTGGATGTCACCAGTAAGGAGAGTGTGGCGGCAGCGACGGAGTGGGTGAAAGGGTGCATTGGAAGCAAAGGTGAATCTCTACCTTCCTTGTGGTGCCTCTGTGCTATTGGTGGGACGGGGGATTAGAATTGCCTCTCTGTATTCATTTGTAGGCCACTTTCCCCACATAATTGTGCCCAAAGTGGCTCACAACGTGTAATAGGAAGAATAAGCATAACAATTCAGAAAATACCTTAGAGATAATCATTATCAGCATTCAATAATAGATCTCAGAGCCAGCTCCAGATATTTGGTGCCTGAGAACATGGGACACCCCCTCTGGGAATCCCGGGAACTGTCGTTTGTCAAGGATGCTGAATTGAAAAGTGGAAACAACACTCCAGCTTGACAGATATTTTCTCTAGTCTTTGGGGTTCCCAAGCTCAGTCAAGCTCTTGATGTGGGCAAAGAGAATTGATTGTTTTAACTGCAAAGGGGAAAGAAGAAGAATGATGTGAAAATAGAATGCAAATTTAACAGAGAAGGGCATGGGCATTTTTTTGTTCTTTTGGTTACTTTTTAAATACAGTGGTACCTCTGGTTACGTACTTAATTTGTTCCAGATGTCTGTTCTTAACCTGAAACTGTTCTTGACCTGAAGCACCACTTTAGCTAATGGGGCCTTCTGCTGCTGCCTTGCTGCCCCAGCACAATTTCTGTTCTCATCCTGAAGCAAAGTTCTTAACCCGAGGTACTATTTCTGGGTTAGCGGAGTCTGTAACCTGAAGCGTCTGTAACCTGAAGCGTATGTAACCCGAGGTACCACTGTACTGTATCACTTTTGGCGTTTTGCTGCGTGAGGAGTTTCTGAATGCAGGGCAGCAGCAGCGTGGCATCCCCAGAATCCCAACCCACAACACACAGCAGCCACTGTGCCACACTATAGACCCCCATGCTGCCCTATGCCCCCCCTATAAAGGCAGACCCCCCCCATGCTACTGCTGGGCAGGAAAGCAAGGGAGAGAAAAGCAAGCAAGCTTTTTCATTGTGATTGACAATGAATTGGGGGGGCGGGGCTTGTATGCAAATCAGCAGCCTGCCACCACTGTAGCTGCTGGGCAAATTAGCAAAGTCCTTTCCCGGATCTCGTCCTTTGCAAGTCTTGCTTTCACGGCTGCCAGGCATACACAAATGTCTGCTCCGCTATTACAAGGAAGGCATTGCTGGCTTGGCTGGAGAAACTGCCGCTCACTTCTTCTCTGCCCTCACCTCTGCCCACCCACAAGGAGGGTTCTCAGCAGCAGCTTGGCCAGGTGACCTGTGTGTCTTGGTGGGGTTTCCACTTGTCCCTTGTAATAGGGGATTGTCCCTTATTTCGAGGGAAAATGCTGAATAATAATAATAATAATAATAATAATACCTTTATTGTCAATGTACAACCTGTGTACAATCAAATTAACCGAGCCTCCCCTCCCCCCAAACACTCAATCTCATTGCACTCTGTGTGCTTGTCGCACAACACACCAACCCCGAAAGTCAGTTGTCCCTTATGTCTGCCTTGCTTTCTTTCCCCCTCCTCTTCTTCTGCTGAGCTCAGCTCCTCCCTCCCATCTCTACCAGAGCTGCTGCCTCTCTCCTGCCTGTCCACTTTCCATTTCTCTCTCTTTCTCTCCCCCTTTCCCTAACTCCCTCCCTCCAGTTACACTAAATCCAGTGAGAGAGGCAGCTAAATTCATGTAGGTTACGGTTGCTAATAGGAAAAAACACCTGTTCTTTCTCACAGGGCTTTGGGGCTTGGTGAACAACGCAGGCACAGCTCTACCATCAGGTCCCAATGAATGGCTGACCAAAGATGACTTTGCAAAGGTGATCAATGTCAACCTTCTTGGGATGATTGATGTGACGCTACACATGGTGCCTCTGGTGAGGAGAGCCAGAGGGAGGGTGGTCAACATCTCCAGTACGAATGGACGACTGGCAGTCTTTGGAGGTGGTTACTGCCCATCCAAGTTTGGTGTGGAAGCCTTCTCTGACAGCCTGAGGTAAAAACAGCAGCTCTTTAATGTCCTCTTCTGCTTACTTTAGTGCAACATCTGCCATACTCCCTAATCACTTGCCAGGCTGGAAGTGGCTGATGCGAGTCCTCCTGGTTTAGTTGCTAAGTCTGGGGAAAGTGGGCTGCAGGGAAGAAAGAGCTGGGAAATGTGGCAGCTGCCCAGGGCTTTGCCCAAGACTCGCACAACTTGAGATGAATGTATCCAGGAAGGATCTCAAAAGAGAAGATAGACAGGGACTGGAAGTTGTTTAAAGGATACTTGCAAAATCAGAACTCCTATTAGAATAAACAAGTTCCGTTTTAAATACTGAAATACTAAGATGGATAACAATGTGTAATAGAAAAAGAAGCATGAAATTAGGTTAAAGGTGTGTGAAAGAAAGTAACAGAAGTGGATAGAAATTGCAATTGAGTAGATTGGAAGTCTAACACAAAGGTGGGGTGAGGGGTGGTGGACGGTGATGGGAAAAGGAATTATCTGTGGGATTGAGTGTAGGTATGTTTGAACATTTTTAAGGATTGTATGAAATGTATGTTTGTATGCTGGTATATTCGCAATATGTGTGTATTAATGCTGAATTATTTTAATAATAAAAACTTTTCAAAAAAAGAAAAAGAAAAAAAGAAGGTATCCAGGCACAGGCTATGCCCACATCTGGCCTTGAACCAAACTTTTCAAATCACAAGCCCACAATTGGATGTGTGGCTCTCAGTCCAGGACCTTCTCATTAATGGTGAACATGCTATAGAGGTCCCCCTGTTTTCCTTAGAATAGTTTGGGCCCAACATGCTTTATAGAAATGTTCATTACCATGTTGAAAAGTGTGTGCTTTTTCCAACTATTTACGTATCACTTAATTATCAAGGTGTGGGACTGAGCAGTTATCTGCACATATGCACTGCCCAGGCTCACGTAGCACGGAGGTCACTGCTAACACTGCGGTTTGACTTCACTCGCAGAGGCACACTCTGTTGAATGGTTTCTTTAAATGTGGAGGTTCATCATTGTTCCACCCGATGTGTATGTCTTTAAGGGGCCAGATCAAGGGCCAGAGGAAAACAACGAGACCCAGCTTTACAGCTGTGAAACATAGCAGGTGCTGCTAAGTCGTGTTAATTAAGCTGTGTCAGCAATTGGGTATAGTATATAAGGAGCAGCACCTAGCTCTCCCATTACCCTGGGGGATGGGTTGGTGGTTGGGTCATGTTTGTTGTTGTTATCTTTAGTGTAAAAGGAGTTTTTGTTTTGTTATTTTTGAGTTCCTTGTTTTGCATGGTCTCCCCAGCAAGCTCTCTGCAGCGCTACTAAACTGCAAATAGCCAACACACTCCATTCTCTTTTGAGATACATGCATGCCAATGTCCAGGTTTCCATGATATGGCAGACTGACAGTGGAAAGCGTTGATAAGGCAGCTTGTCAAATTTGGGAAAATACTAATTTACTCTCAGAGGCTGTGAGACAATTTAAAGTGGTGAATGTACAAACCACCAAGGTTGGAAAGGCTGAGGTGGGAGGTTGGAGGAAAATGCAAGGGAAAGTAAGGGTGGTCCACGACAAAAATGGCACCTTGTGTGAATTGATTTGGGAGGATTTGACTGTGATGGAGACAAAACAGGAAGGGAGGGCAAAAGGTATGGGAGGCTACTATATGTGGTGGCAATGTAAAGTTATTAAGAAGACCTGGGAAGTGACATAGAAAGATTTGAAGAGAATGTGGAAAATGTTTTTCGTTAAAAAAACAGACACTATAATTTTGGAAGGACAGGACTTAATGGATTTATTGAGCAAAAGACTCTGTTCCTGTACTGGAGAGTGGATGCCAGGCCAAGACCAACCCATCCCTATAACGTGGTTCCTCTAGTTATGAACTTAATTTGTTCTAGAGGTCCGTTCTTAACCTGAAACTGTTCTTAACTAGAGGTGTGCTTTCGCTAATGGGGCCTCTTGCTGCTGCTGTGCTGCCAGCACACGATTTCCGTTCTAATCCTGGGGCAAAGTTCTCAACTCGAGGTAACTCTTCCAGGTTAGCGGAGTTTGTAACCTGAGACGTTTGTAAGTCGAGGTACCACTGTAGGAGGAAGAAGCCACCACCAAAGAAAATAAAGAATATTGGCAAAATAAATTAATGAACTATGCAGGACATATTAGATAATTTGAAACCCAAGAAAGAAAAGACATGGATTTTTTTTATTTTAAGGGGTAATGTTTAATGCATACTTTGTAAGCTTTGTGTATAGGTTTCTACATTAGTTGAACTTCTAAAAGTCACTTGTAATAAGATGAATAAGGTTTTAAAATGGGATTAAGAATATAAGATTTTATGGACATGCATGAATCTGTATAAAATAATGGAACCAGGAGGGGGAGTGGAGGGATGTCAATCAAGTTTTATGGTTTAAATTTTTGATTGTGATGAGTGCTGTTGTTTTTTTGTTATCATAAAATTAATAAACGAGAGAGAGAGAGAGAGAGAGAGAGAGAGAGAGAGAGAGAGAGGGAGGGAGGGATACATGGATGCTGACAACTAAGCCATGAATGTGTAGCATTTGGAGAGAAATTCTGTGTGGCATCTTCTCGGGGTTGTTTGCACTGTAATCTTCTTCTGCACAAAGGAGGTTTGGCAAAACCCTTAAATGCTCCTTTTTTAAAACAAGGGGTCCCAGAACCCAAAGAACAGGGTCTTGTTCCTTTGCTACAAGTGACCTGCCTTGTTCCTCTTAACAAGAAGACTGGGCAGAGATGGCAGAGGCTGCAGGGAGGAGGGTGGGAAGCAGCCCTGGCAGAAAAGGCTCCTTGCTCTCAGCAGCAACTTTCCCCCACTAGGTTAAGGTCTCCCTTCAGGAAGGCATTTGATGTATCAGCGAGACTTTGAAGCATGTCCCAGCTAGACTGGGGTAGTCAACCTTTTCATACCTCCCGCCCACCAATGCATCTTTCTTGATGGTAAAATTTCCTTACCCCCCACCAGTGCTGGATGGAAGGAGGATTCAGCTTGTGCCGTAGAATCCCCTTCCGCCCACCTAGAATCCTGAAACACCCACTAGTGGGCGGTAGGGACCAGGTTGACAACCCCTGAGCTGGACTTTGAAGCATGTCCTCATGACTGTCTCTTAATACAACTGGTGCTGTGTCATAAACAATCCTCTCCTGGGTGGGGCGTATCCTGGCTCCTGCAAGAGGGCAGAAGGCAGGGGAGCTGCATTTCCATCTTTTCTTTCTCCTCAATTTTCTTTTTTTAAAAAGAAAGATGTACCTATCCATGGACCCAAGTTCCTGACCTGCATTCCTGCATTCCTATGACTCAGCAGGCAATGATGTTTCTTCTTTTGTTCCTCTGCATTTCAGGCAAGAGCTCCATCCTTTTGGAGTCCAAGTCAGCATTATTGAACCTGGTGGTTTCCAGACAACCATTGCCGCAAGAGCATTAGAGAATTTAAAGAATGTATGGAACCGAGTGCCATCTGACATCAAAGAAGTCTATGGGAAACAGTACTTGGAGAACTGTGAGTAGACTTGGAGGGGATTTCAGCATGGTTTGCATTTTACTGCAAACATACCCAATTCACACTTCAAGAAGCAATACATTAACCAATACATAGCTCTGCTTAGGAATTCAAACTCCTCTAGATTTAGCAACAAGTTCTCCAGACTAACTATGTGTACAAAGTGAACATAATATACCAAAATGCACTAAGCAAATTGATCACGATAAAAAAAATTCACTATGCAAGGAAATAATGTTTGCCAAAATGTGTATACAGTGGTGTAATGGTTGTGAGGGGTTACTTGTGCGTAAATGGCCTGAGATGTAGTTAGCTTGCTTGCCCAACCATGCTTAGGGTCAGAGCTCGCCCTCCGTGACCTGTTAGTCACTTGCAGAATCCGTCAGTGGGCGTTTCTTGAACCTCTTCCAGCATAAAAGCTGTTTGACCCCGAGTCTCCTCCTATGTTCCCTGCGCGGAACGTGTCTGCGCAAGTAAGGGGAAGGCTGGGGCGTGCCAGCGCTCTCTCCACTAGTTTTGGGTGAAGGGTCTTGGAGCCCTGTCTCCAATTCCTCCATCTCCCTCAATTCTCTATTGGTGTTACCTTGAATTCCTTCCCCCATGCTGGTCCCCTCTCCGGCATCGCTCGGGAGCCCTGCCTCCGCTTCTCGCTCTGATGTCAGTTCCCTGACAAGTGGTACCTCAGTTTAAGAACAGCCCGGTTTAAGAATGATTTGGTTTACAAATTCCACAAAACCGGAAACTGTGTCTTGGTTTGAGAACTTTACCTCGGTCTAAGAACGGAATCCGAATGGTGGAAGGGCACTGGCGGTGAGAAGCCTCATTAGGGAAAGCAAGCCTCGGTTTAAGAACGGTTTGGGTTTAAGAACAGGCTTCCGGAACGGATTAAGTTTTTAAACCGAGGTACCACTGTATTGTGAAAACTGAAATGCTGATGACTTTCAAAAACCATACACTGAAATGAGGAGAACCAAACTCAAAGATTTTGGAGATATTGAAACTGAGAGAAACCAAAGTGGACAGGTTCATCCATTGTAGATTTAAATCTTTTGAGAATGTGTTCTGTTTTGAAGCCTCCAAAATAGTTCCAGATGCATCTGCTATGATTTACCGTATTTTTTGCTCTACAAGACTCACTTTTTCCCTCCTAAAAAGTAAGGGGAAATGTGTGTGCGTCTTATGGAGCGAATGCAGGCTGCGCAGCTATCTCAGAAGCCAGAACAGCAAGAGGGATTGCTGCTTTCACTGCACAGCGGCCCCTCTTGCTGTTCTGGCTTCTGGGATTCAGAATTTTCTCTCTCTTGTTTTCCTCCTCCAAAAACTAGGTGCGTCTTGTGGTCTGGTGCGTCTTATAGAGCGAAAAATATGGTAGTTCTTCTAGGCAGAGGTATCTAGATGCCAACCGGTCCATTCAGCTCCCAAAAGATTTAGGTTACCCCCTACATTTACAGCACTAACTTCTGTTTTGTTTAATATTTCTCACACACAGATTGCAAAATTGCCCAATATTCCATTAACATTGCCAGCAGCAAGCTTCACCTAGTCACTGACTGTATGGAACATGCCCTGACATCCTGCTCCCCTCGCACTCGCTACTCTGCAGGATGGGATGCAAAGCTCTTGTATGTTCCTGCCTTTTACTTTCCAACGTCCATTGTTGACTTCGTGATGAGCTGCATTCAGCCCAAACCTGCTCAAGCAGTATAGATTGCTTTGAAGAAACCCTTTACAGTTGTCCAAATGAGCCAACAATCTGTGGATGCTTGTTTATGCAAAATAGAAAATGCAACAAACAAACTTTTGCAAGCAGTATGAATTGCTTTGAAGAAAAAGCTTTACAGTTAGATTTCCAGGGGGGAAGCCAGTAGATGGTGTTCCTGTTTTCAGTTTAGCTTATACTGTATTTCTATATATGGTGGCTGAGATAAGGGATGCAGCTGCCAGCATGGGAAAGAAGGAAGTGTCCTTGCTCTGAACCAGCTGCAGAGATAAGGAGGAATATGAGTGGAAGGCTACCTTGAACTCATGCTCTGACTTCAAAGTGTGAAATCAAAGGAGGTGCCCTTAGAAGTGGATGGGAAAAAGGACAAGAGCATAAAGCACTTGCTACAGAAACGGTGGAAAGCTGCTCCAGGACGCTATAAAAGGCCCCAACTGCAGCAATCCAACAAGATTCCAGTTTGGACTGACCAGGTAAAGTGCCAAGCATATTTTGGCCTGAGAAAGAGGGGTGCCGTCACTGGTTTCTGGAATGTCTCCGTCAAAAATGACGGATAGCTGAGCCAGCTTCACAACTTTATCTTTGAGTATTCTTTCATATAGAGTTGTACCTTGGAAGTCAAACGGAATCCATTCAGGAAGTCCCTTCGACTTCCAAAACATTCAGAAACCAATAAGAAGCCGCACCGGACGTTTGAAAATCATTCCAGTTTTTGATTGTTCAGGAGCTGAAATGTACAAGTTCCAAAGTGTTTGGCAACCAAGGTACAACTGTACTTTAATTGTATATTAGCACCTGTTGCTGTTTCTTTGCTTATTATGATAGTAGTTAATAAAGCTTGCTTCTACTGCCTAAAAGTTTGAGATCCAAAGAACTAATTTGCAAACATTTTAGCAAATAGGATGAAAAAATCTTAGGTAAAAATATACATCAAGGTGAATATATACATCAAGATCAGGCACGGTTTCTGCCAGGTAGAAAAAGCCAAAAAAGCTTTTGATAATGTTTCCTGGGATTTCATGAAAAAATTACTTGAAGAAATTAATTGTGTATATAAATTTTTAACAGGAATACAAGCAATATACTGGGAACAAATTGCGAAATTAATTGTAAATCAGGTGATAATGAATGAATGTAAAATACAAAAAGGAACTAGGTAAGGATGTCCGTTAGCACCAATATTGTTCATTCTGGTCCTGGAAATACTTGAAAGAAATATAAGAGCAGATAAAGATATTAAAGGGATAAAAACTGGAAAAATGAATTTAAGCTGAAAGCCATAGCTGATGATCTAGTAATTAGATGATAGATAGATAGATAGATAGATAGATAGATAGATAGATTCTTTATTGTCATTACACTAGTGCAACATTGCACAAGTGCAACGAAATTAGATGCCATCCCTTAAAAACACAAAAGCAAAACAACAACAACAACCAAACAAACCACCTTCCAACCACACCCACACCCACCCCCAAAAACTCCCAGGTCTCACTATCGAGTTACAGCATTCAAAAAGGCCACAGCTCTTGGATAGAAACTGTTTTTCAGTCTATTTGTCCTTGACTTGATGTTTCTATACCTCCTGCCAGAAGGCAGTAGTGCAAACAGACTGTATCCCGGGTGAGATGGATCCTGCAGGATGTTGTTTGCTTTCCTAAGGCAACGGGAACCGTACAGCTCTTCCAAAGGTGGGAGAGGGTGACCAATAATCCTTTGGGCTGTGGTTATGACCTTCTGGAGCACCTTCCTCTCCCTAGCTGTACAACTGGAGAACCAAGCACAAATACAGTATGTAAGTATGCTCTCTATGGAGCCTCGGTAGAAGGACACCAGCAGTCTCTCACTCAGATTGTTCTTTTTTAAAAGTCTGAGGAAATAAATTCTCTGCTGGGCCTTCTTCACCAGAGCAGTGGTATTTGCGCTCCAAGTCATGCCCTGATCCATAGTCACTCCCAAAAACCTGAATTCCGCCACCCTCTCCACCCGTTCCCCGTTGATATACAAGGGCTGAATGTCCGCCTTTTTTTCCCTGTAATCCACCACCAATTCCTTGGTCTTAGCCGTATTAAGAGCCAGATTGTTCTCTCCACACCAAACACAGAGCCGCTCCACCTCGTCCCGATAGGCGGACTCATCCCCTCCTGAAATGAGCCCCACCACCGTAGTATCATCAGCAAACTTGATGATTTTGTTGCTGGAGTAGATGGCTGTACAGTCATACGTATAGAGAGCATAGAGCAGGGGACTCAACACGCAACCCTGTGGTGAGCCGGTGTTAAGGCTAAGGGCTGTGGACACATGTGACCCTACTCTAACCCTCTGAGAACGTTCTGACAAAAAATCCAAAACCCAGAGACAGGTGGAGTTGGGGAGTCCAATCGTCTCTAGCTTGGACACCAGTCTATGGGGGAGGATAGTGTTAAAAGCAGAGCTAAAATCCACAAACAGCAGCCTCACATAATTCCCCGGCTGCTCCAGATGGGACAGAGCAGCATGGAGAGTGGTGGTGATAGCGTCTTCTGTGGATCTATTTGCCCTGTATGCAAACTGGTAGTTGTCAAAAGTTGATGGAAGACAGGAAATAATATGACGGCGCACCAGTTTCTCAAAACACTTCATGATGATTGGAGTCAGTGCAACTGGTCTGTAGTCATTCAAACTACTGATTGTGGATTTTTTAGGCAGAGGGACAATAGTTGACGACTTCAGGCAGGGTGGGACAATAGACTGGTGTAAGGACTTGTTGAAGATCTTAGTAAAGACCCTCGCCAGCTGATCCACACAGCCCTTCAACACCTTTCCAGTGATGCCATCAGGTCCAGCCGCCTTCCTCGGATTCACCATCCTCAATACTTGTCTCACCTCGTGCTCCTCTACAGTGAATGAGGGGCCCCTATGGGCTGGTGGCTGTAATACCGGCGTCTCAGGTGGCTCCTTCTCGAAGCGAGCAAAGAAGAGGTTAAGCTCCTCCGCCAGCAAAGGGTCGCCGTCGACAGCGCCAATTACAGTAGAAGATTCAAAAAAAATCTCTCCTTAGAGTAATAGAGAAAATTCAATAGTTTGGGGAAGTGGCAGGATTTAAATTAAATGGAAATAAAACTAAATTATTAGTTAAAAATTTAAAAGAGGAAGAGAAAAAAGATTTGGCCCAAAGCATTGAGATAGAAATCCAAAAAAAGTAAAATATTTAGGGATGTGGTTAACAACAAGAAATATAAATGTGTATAAAGACAATTAGGAAAAAGTATGGTCTGAGATAAAAGGGAATTTAGAAATATGGAGGAGAATGAACCTTTCCCTACTAGGAAGAATTGCAGCGGTAAAAATGAATGTGCTGCCGAAAATGCTCTTTCTCTTCCAGACAGTCCCAGTAATGGGACAATCGCCAGTAATGAGGATGATTGCCTCAAAGGATGGCAAAAAGATATTTCTAAGTTTATCGGGGTGGGGGTGGGGCAAAAGGCCAAGGATAAAACATAAGAGACTTACAGATACAAAAGAAAGATGGGGCTTCACCCTCCCAGATCTTAAACTGTATTATGAGGCTGCATGTTTGGTTTGGATTAGGGACTGGATAAAACTGGAAAAGGAAGAAGCATTAGATTTGGAAGGTTATGATAACAGATACGGATGGTGTGCATACATATGGTATGGGATAGGGAAAGTACATAAAGGATTTTACAATCATATAATCAGAAGATCATTAATGAGAGCATGGGAGAGGTACAAAGATTTAATAGAACAAAAAACACCTTGGTGGTTATCACCAATTGAAGCTTCATTACTCAAACTGCTTGGCAAAAAGGGAAAGCGGCCTACTTATAGAGAGTTACTGAGAGATCAAGAAGGAAAATGGAAATTAAAAGATTATGAGGAAATCAAAGATCATGTCCAGAGTTGGTTGCATTATAGACAATTATACGAAATGTATAAGGAAGATAACAAAAAAGGGTTTAGCTATACAGTTGTACCTCAGGTTAAATACGCTTCAGGTTACAGACTCCGCTAACCCAGAAATAGTGCTTCAGGTTAAGAACTTTGGTTCAGGATGAGAACAGAAATCGTGCTCCGGCGGCGCGGCAATAGCGGGAGGCCCCATTAGCTAAAGTGGTGCTTCAGGTTAAGAACAGTTTCAGGTTAAGTACGAACCTCTGGAACGAATTAAGTACTTAACTCGAGGTACCACTGTGCAATCTCTAGATTCCCAAATGAGGTTATAGAAGAAGTGAAGTTGTTGAAGAAAGCATATAGTATTCTGCTAGAATGGGAAACAAAAGATGAGGAGGTCAAATCAGTCATGATTAAATGGGCACAAGATATAGGACATAATATACAATTTGAGGATTGGGAAAAGCTGTGGAAGGTAGATTTGAAATTTACAGACTGTTCTCTTTTGAAAGAAAATTATATGAAAATGATGTATAGATTGTATATTACACCAGTAAAAATGGCAAAAATGTATAAAACTGGGTAAAATACATGTTGGAAATGTAAATAAAAAGAAGGTACTTTGTATCATATGTGGTGGGAATGTAGAGAAATTTAAAAATTTTGGGAGATGATATACAATGAATTGAAAAAAATGTTCAAAATGACACTTGTAAAAAAACCGGAAGCATTTTTGTTAGGGATTTTAGGACAAGACCTGCCAAGAAAAACAAAGAAGTTATTCATGTATGCTACAACAGCGGCAAGAGTCTTGCTAGCATAAGGATGGAAGAATGAGGAAATCCCAAAGAAAGAACAACGGCAAGAAAAACTGATGAGCTATGCGGAGTTGGCAAAGTTAACACATAAATTGCGTGAGAAGGACAACCGCGACTTCAAGGAAGAATGGGAATTATTTACAAACTATTTAAAAAGACAACAAAAGGATTTGGACTCCGTGGCAGGTTTTGAATAAACATCCACAAATTTATTGTTGTTGTTGTTCAGTCGTTTAGTCGTGTCCGACTCTTCATGACCCCATGGACCAGATCACGCCAGGCACTCCTGTCTTCCACTGCCTCCCGCAGCTTGGTCAGACTCATGTTTGTCACTTCAAGAACACTGTCCAACCATCTCGTCCTCTGTCGTCCCCTTCTCCTTGTGCCCTCCATCTTTCCCTACATCAGGGTCTTTTCCAGGGAGTCTTCTCTTCTCATGAGGTGGCCAAAGTATTGGAGCCTCAGCTTCACGATCTGTCCTTCCAGTGAGCACTCAGGGCTGATTTCCTTCAGAATGGAGAGGTTTGATCTTCTTGCAGTCCATGGGACTCTCAAGAGTCTCCTCCAGCACCATAATTCAAAAGCATCAATTCTTCGGCGATCAGCTTTCTTTATTAGTAGAACAGATTTTGTTCGCGAACCGAGGTACCACTGTACTAGAATTCATGCACCAAAGCAAGCTGGCCGGGTTGAGCCTCACCCTTCCTACTCTAGGTGAAATGTAATTTTGCAAGCACTCTGCCCATCTTTCTATCAGCAGGAGGGATGTGCTTCCGCAAGAAAGATACGCTCAACCCCAGGCTTTCTTCCTGCTGTAGACAAATGACTTGAGTTATTTGCTCTATCTATACATGAACAGAACACAGGGAAAAGGGGCTGAATCTGTGGCACGGAGCTCTGCAGTGGGAGGAATTTGGTGTGTTTCCTTCACCAACAGATTCCCCAGTTACTTTAAAGAAAGCAGTTAAATTTCACCACCTAATTGGGTTAAACCAATCCTTGCCAGAAGGGAGGAGCTCCTGTTGCAGCTAGTGGAATATGAAAAACAGCAGGCAGATAAGGAGCAACTGTAAACGGGAGAAGAAAGCATTGCTTTACCTGCCGCACAACTGAAGCTGAGAGCCTTTCCTCTAACCAGCTGCAGGTCTGTCTCTTCCCTTTTCAAAATCAAGTCAAATCAAATCAAATCAAAATTGTCCAGTAGCACCTTATAGACCAACTAAGTTTGTTTTGGTATAAGCTTTCATGTGGATGTGTATCTGAAGAAGTGTGCATGCACACGGAAGTTTATACCAGAACAAACTTAGCTGGTCTATAAGGAGCTACTGAACCATTTTTTATTTTTTATTTTGACTGCGTCAGACCCACACGGCTACCTACCTGAATCTTCCCTTTTCAATTATACATGATAGTCAGTAACTTCCTGTCCCCACTAACATGGGCTTATAACAACTTTATTTTAAGCTAATATTCAGTAGGTGACACTTTTCTCAAGCTTCAGGCTGTGGGAGGGGAAAAGCTTCACTTCCTGAATTTCTTCTTCCTGGGCACCCTTTAAAGGCCGAGAAACATTTCCAGAAAAAGTTCAGAACGTTAAAAGGTACAAGATCTACCCCAGTCTCTATTATTATTATTATTATTATTATTATTATTATTATTATTATTATTATTATTATTTATTATTATTATTTTATTATTTATACCCCACCCATCTGGCTGGATTTCCCCAGCCACTCTGGGTGGCTTCCAATAAAAGATTAAAAATACATTAGAACATCAGTCATTAAAAACTTCCGTAAACAGAGCTGCCTTCAGATGTCTTCTAAACGTCAGATAGTTGTTTATTTCTTTGACATCTGAGGGGAGGGCGTTCCACAGGGCAGGTGCCATTTCCAAGAAGGCCCTCTGCCTGGTTCCCTCACTTCTCACAGGGAGAACCTCACTCCTCACTGGTAACCTCACATCTCTCAGTGAGGGAACCGCCAGAAGACCCTTCTCAGAGCTGGACTTTTGGGCTGAAAGATGGGGGTGGAGATGTTCCTTCAGGTATACTAAGCTGAAGCCTTTTAGGGCTTTAAAGGTCAGCACCAACACTTTAACGGTCAGCATGAGCCACATGCCATTTTCTCACCCCCCCCTCAGTGGTGACACCCGGAGTGAACCATCCCACCCCCCTTCCTCCACCCCTGGGGAGAGTTTGATCACACAAAACAAATCGGGGATAGGACTTTGAGCAAGTGCAATATGTGGTGCAAAAATGGCAAAATAATGACGTGTTGGCTGCTAATGCTGAGCTTGCACAATATTTGAGCTGCTGCTAATGTCTATAGATGTAGATAGGATCCTACTGTTCCACTTTATTTAGTTGTTTAGTTAATAAGCAGCTAGCTGGAGCTATTATTTATACTTCTTTTAGCCTGCCTCTGCTCCAAGCAGCTCTTTGCTTCATGCAAAATTTCTCCTTCCCCTCAACAGCACTGCAAGGAATGCTAAATAAAGCGGTGGAAACATAAAAGGTCTTCCAGTGAACTTCTTGGTGGAGCAGGAATTAGAAATCTCCTCCTCCAAGTCCTGCCAGGGGCGTGTATGCATCCTAATGCTTGAATTCTTTTTCCCTGCAGGTTTCAGCCATGTGGCTCTACCTGGCTGCCCTGCTGGGGCTTTACTTCCTTCGCCGATGGTACAAGGAGAGACAGACGGTGGAGAACCTGACGGAGAAATATGTCTTCATCACGGGGTGTGACTCTGGCTTTGGAAACCTACTTGCCAGGCAGCTGGATGCCCGGGGCCTGCGGGTGCTGGCAGCCTGTCTCACGCAGAAGGGGGCAGAGCAGCTGGACAAGGCCACCTCAGAGCGCTTGAAAATCACCATTCTGGATGTCACCAGCACAGAGAGTGTGGCGGCAGTGATGGAGTGGGTGAAAGGGTGCATTGGGAACAAAGGTGAATCTCTACCTTCCTTGTGGTGCCTCTGTGCTATTGGTGGGACGGGGGATTAGAATTGCCTCTCTGTATTCATTTGTAGGCCACTTTCCCCACATACCGTATTTTTTGCTCTGTAAGACTCACTTTTTCCCTCCTAAAAAGTAAGGGGAAATGTGTGTGGGTCTTATGGAGCGAATGCAGGCTGCGCAGCTATCCCAGAAGCCAGAACAGCAAGAGGGATCGCTGCTTTCACTGTTCAGCGATCCCTCTTGTTGTTCTGGCTTCTGAGATTCAGAATATTTTTTTCCTTGTTTTCCTCTCCAAAAACTAGGTGCGTCTTATGGTCTGGTGCGCCTTATAGAGCGAAAAATATGGTAATTGTGCCCCAAAAGGCTCACAATGTGTGAAATGAAGAATAGGGATAACAATTCAGAAAAAAATAGTATTAGGAAGAATTGTGATAAGGGTTCCATAAGTAAACACAAACAATCTATGCATGTGATTAGCTTATTTCCAACTTTATTGAGCTCTGCTAAGGTTGCCTCAGAAGATGAACATGCCTCCTTTCTTCACACAGGGCTCTGGGGCTTCGTGAACAATGCGGGTATGGGGATCCCAACAGGTCCCAATGAATGGCTGACCAAAGATGACTTTGCAAAGGTGATCAATGTCAACCTTCTTGGGATGATTGATGTGACGCTACATATGGTGCCTCTGGTGAGGAGAGCCAGAGGGAGGGTGGTCAACGTGTGCAGTACGATGGGACGCCTGGCCTGCTTTGGAGGTGGTTACTGCCCATCCAAGTTTGGTGCGGAAGCATTCTCTGACACCCTGAGGTAAAAACATCAGCTTTGTAGTTTCTTCTTTTGCAACATGCAACCTCCAGATGGGTCATTCCATATCAAGTGATCCAACTTTTTTACCCCATGTCACCCAATTTTCTTCATATTTTGTACACTTGTTGAATGAACAAAACTAACTTCATATCTGAATTTTTTATCTCATCCCATTTTTGAGTTATGAGGGTTTGAAATTTCAAAAAAAAAATATGTCAATTTTGGCCTTGCCAGACTAAATAAGAATAATAATAATTCCCCAGCCACTCTGGGCGGCTTCCAACAAAATATTAAAATACTCAGACTGGAATTGAGATACGTCAAAAGCGAAAACACCAATCTCTTCAGAACTGCATGGGATTTAATATGATATGTCATATGATGGACTTAGTTTAGAATTAAAAATTAAGTTATAAAATTTATTTTTTAAAACAATGATTTTAAAATATTTCCATTTTTTTTTCTTGGGATCTCCATGGGATCACATTTTAAAATAATATTTGTACATACATGTCTGCCTTATTGGGTTCTAATTAGGATAAATGGGTCTTCTGTTATATTCTGAAAAATATAACAGAATAAACAAAATTTGAAACTATATTATCAGTTACTTCAGGCATTTCTTTAGAAAGTTATTCAATTAAAAAGTGTCTGAAAAGCTAACCAGGCTTTTCTTTTAAAAATGTGTTACAAGGCCGGGTGATAGCTTGTTATTGCACGACAGAATTAATGCATTGAAAGAATTCTTCTTAGTACTTCATCTCATGAACATTACAACAAAATACATATCAAACAAAAATATGAAAAATATATGTTTTTGAATTTGCAAGCCTGAGATAGGATGTGTGGCTCTCAGGCCACTTTTGCTGTCCATGCTCTAGATGGTTTTCTCTAGCTCTTGGGCCATCCTGCCTGGCCGTGTTGCTGGTGTCACTTAGGAGAATAGCAAAGGCCTTTGAGAATAGAATACCTCATTGTGATGTGTAGAAAAGTTGATTATGGTGATTAAAAATGTGCGTATTTCAGCTATTTATATACCACTTAATTATCAAAGTGTCAACTTTAGAGTACCAGCAGGAGTTTGAAGCACCAGCATTCTGATGGCTGCCTATTAATACAACTGATGTTGTGTTATATAGAACACATTGCAGGGCCAGGCTCATGCAAGAGGGCAAAAGATAGGGAGTTGTATTTCCCTTCTCTCTCTCTCTCTCTCTTCTTTTCAAAAAGAAAGATGTTCCTTTCCATGCATGACCTGCAATATTACTGTGGCTCAGTAACAAAGAGACGGTGGATGAAGATTGGAAGAAAGTTTAAAAATCTATTTAGAGAAATATTGTAAAATTAATGAGTGTTAGAAAAATGTTGGAATGAAACTATATGGCTTTAGTAGAAATGTTATAAGGAGTTATGTACAAATAAGTTTTAAGTTTTAGGGTTTTTTATGGTAAGATAAGGTTAAAATAAATTAAGGCAATCAAATGACAGAAAATAGTGAAAGATGGAAAGGATTTAATGAAATAATTAATAACTAGAATACAAAAAGGGAGGTGTGAGGAGGTCGATGAAACAAGTTAATGAAAGATAAAGATATGGAAATATTGGATCTGTTTTTAATTTTTTTTTGCTTTTGCTTTTTGGTTTTGATGTATTGTGTGTTTTTGTTTTCTTTTTTCTTTTTATATGTATTGACTTGTACTGTTTAATTTCTTTTTTCTCTTTCTTTGTTTCTCATTCTTTTCTGTAATCTTAAACTTTCAATAAATATCATTTTAAAAAAAATTCTTTACTTTTCTTCTCCAATTCAGGAGAGAGCTCCATCCTTTTGGAGTCCAAGTCAGCATAATTGAACCTGGTGGTTTCAAAACACCTATTGTCTCAAATGCACTAGAAAATTTTCAGACTGTATGGAGCCAGGTACCTTCTGACATCAGAGACTGTTATGGGCAGCAGTACTTTGAGCAATGTGAGTAGAGATGGGGGAGAAAGTCAGTTCGATTTGCATTTTATTGCAGACTTATCTCATTTACACTTCAAGAAACAATACACAAACTGTAGGTTGGCCTACAGATTGTCAAGAAAGCAAAATATTTGGATATAGATCTAACTATGAAGAATATTAATCTGTTTAAAAATAACTATGAAAAAGTTTGGAAAGGAATAAGAAAAGATTTTGAAACCTAGAGCAGACTAAAGTTATCACTATGGGGAAGAATCTCCATAATAAAGATGAATGTTTTTCCAAAAATGCTATATTTGTTCCAAACGATAGCAATTATAAACAAAGAAAATTGCTTCGAAGAATGGAGGAAAGATATAATGAGATTCGTATGGCAAGGGAAAAACCCGCAGATAAAATATAAATTATTGACGGAAAGGAAAGAAAGGGGAGGATATAATATAAAATTATATTATGAAGCAGAATGTTTAATATGGGTAAGAGATTGGATTAGATTAGAAAAAAATTATATATTAGACCTTGAAAGCTTCAACAATAGATATGGATGGCATGTGTATCGCAATTATGAGAAGGTAAAATCATATACTTAGAAGTGCACTATATAAGGTTTGGAACAAATATAAACTACAGTTGGAACCACAGACACCTTGGTGGATATTGCTGCTGGAGGCATATGCTGTAAAAAAAACTGAATATGAGAACAAATTGGCCAACATATAGACAACTACTGGAAGAGGAACAAGAGAAATCCAGATTAAAACCCTTTGAAGAGATACGGCAATATGAAATTGAGAGATGGCATTATATACAAGAAGTATATTTAATTCTGATCAAAAGAGAGGCTTTGCAAAACAGGACTCAAAATTTAATACTACAATAATTCAGAACAATAAGAAATTGTTATCTAAAACATATAATCTTTTATTGGACTGGGAATTGATGGATGAAGAAGTGAAAGAAACGATGATTAAATGGGCCCAGGATGTTGGACATACTATTTATCTAGAGCAATGAGAGAAACTCTGGCGAGAAGATATACGATTTACCGCCTCATACACAATCAAAGGAAATTTTGTTAAGATGTTCTACAGGTGGTATTTAACACCAGCTAAGTTAGCAAAGATATATAAATTGAAATCCAACATTTGTTGGAGATGTGGTAAAGAAATAGGAACAACAATACATATGTGGTGGAGGTGAGAGGAAATTAAGAAATTCTGGACAGTAATACATGAAGAATTAAAGAAGATGTTGAAAATCTCAATAAAATAACAACAACCAGAGATGTATCTCCTGGAATTGATAGGGGAAGAGATATCATGGGGGGGGGAGAATCTTCTTATATGCAAGTACAGCTGCTAGAGATTGCTGCTAAATGGAAGTCACAAACTCTACTCTCAAGGGAGGAATGGATTTGTAAATTAAATGAATACATTGCTTTGGCAAAATTAACAGCTATTATAAGAAATCAATCGAATCAAAAATTTAAAGAGGAGTGGAAATGTTTTGATGAATATATGGGAAAATATTGCTCAAAAAAGATATGCTAATATTCCTTGATTAAAATGTAAAGTATCTGAGGGGAGGTAAATTAGTAAAGAAGGATAATAAGAATACATAGAAGATTTGAGCAGATTGTAGAACGCAAAGATAAATGTAATCTCAGAATGTAGAGGAAATTGAGTGGGGGATTTAATTTACAAATCCATTCCTCCCTTGAGAGTAGAGTTTGTGACTTCCATTTAGCAGGGGGAGGGACAAGAGAATATTATGCTTGATTGATGATTTAAATGATAAATATATGTGGGGATGGGGAAGATGGGGTGATGGATTTGGTATATTTGCATTGTGATGTAATATAGTAAAAAACCAATAAAAAAGAAGAAGAAGAAAGAAACATAAGAAAACTGACATACAGCTTTCCCTCTGAATTTGCACTCACCAAAATTGGTGATGCAGTCTGGAAGCACCTGAAGATTCTTTTCTTTGGCATCCAAAATAGTTCCAGATGTTCCTCCTTTGATTTAGCTATCATAGGGAGAAATGCCCAGACAGCAATCTTTCCCAAGAAGATTAAATTTGCCTCCTGTGTTGCTGCAGATCCAACTGTTCATTTGTTTCTTTCTCTCACACAGGTTGCAAATCGTTCCAACAACTCCTTGATGGTTGCAGCGACAAGCTTCACCTGGTCACCGACTGCATAGAACATGCCCTGACATCCTGCTCCCCTCGCACTCGCTACTCTCCAGGCTGGGATGCAAAGCTCTTCTACCTTCCTGTCTCTTACTTGCCAACCACGATTGCAGACTATGTGTTGACCCGCTCTGGGCCCAAACCAGCACAAGCCATGTAGATGATTGTGAAGAACAATATGACAGGTGGCCAAACAATCTATGGATGGAACATTGAATCTTTTAGGATCTTATTGAGATGCAGGCTTAGTAATCAGTAGCTGTAAAGAGAAATAGTTTTATTTTTATTTTTTTACTGATGATTGGCTGATGCAGCTTAGGCTCAATACTTTGCTACCCATTTATCTACGAATAAGCCCCATTGAACTCAATGCCACCTACTGTAAGACTGAGTGGCCAGACACTTTCTGCCACACCTTTACCTTACTCTCCAGCCAAGTGGTCTTGAAGGAGTTATAAGTGGTGTAAAAAGATAAAACATCTTCTTTCATTCCCCACTTATCTGGTTCTAAGGAGGTTTATTTGGAATCATTCTTGCAAAGTTTGGAATTGACTTAGAACCAGCTGTAAAGAACCAAACAGGGACTCTTCACTTTAGTCTCCTTTCCCCACAAAAATCCTGGGAACTGCGGTATAAGGATTCTGGGGTAACCTGTAGTTCCTTGGAGTGAGGGAAAGATGTGCTCCCCACAAACCAACTGGAATGAATGCTCAAGTAAAGCTGGTTATAATCTGAACTATGTGTAAGCTTTGTGCAGGTAAAGTAGGTCACCTGGAGGCCAACAGACAGTCCCAACATTCCTCTGTTTCAGCAATTGCTGGGACATGTCTGCAGTACACAAACTCAGGCAACTTTAGACCCAAAGCCGCAGGGCTAAGCAGCAAAATCTGAGTTTATAAAACTTGAAGGAGCAGCGCATGGGTGTTGCACAAGCACTGGTGTCATCAGTTTATCAACCTGGTGGTCTTTCTGCAGGGCCTATACACCCCCCCCCCCAATTCTCCCTTCACCATGAATCTTCTGGTTATCCTTCCCCCATCCTTGAAACATACCTAGATCAGTACTAAGCAAGAAAGAACAGTGATCTTCACCACTCCTTTCAGTTCAGAATGGTTTCAGCACTCCAAGTTAATAATATCCACACTATGTAAACCATAAGCGAACTGACACACAGCTATCCCTCTGAATATGCAACTCGCCAAAATTTCGCAATGCAGTCTGGAAGCACCAGAAAGTTCTTTTCTTTGGCATCCAAAATAGTTCCAGATGTTCCTCCTTTGATTTAGCTATCATAGAGAGGATGCTCAGAAGATTAAATTTGCCTCCTGTGTTGCTACAGATCCAGCTTTTCATTTGTTTGTTTCTCTCACACAGGTTGCAAATCATGTGTGGAGTCTGTCTCTATTTACGCACCAGAATTCATGCACCAAAGCAAGGCCAGGTCCAGCCTCACCGTTCCACACACACACACACACACACACACACACACACACACACACACACACACACACATAATTTAAACAAAACATATTATCCAAAAACATATCATCCTTAATCTCCCCCCATTTTTTCTCCCTCCCCCCCTCACACAACACCCACCCACCCCCGACTTCCGACTTCCCTCTGTTCCAGTCTTTGGTTTCTCTGTAAATGCTGTTCTCTGCATGTTACAAAGTTGTGTAGATCCTTAAATTGTTTAACTGATTATTGCCAATAAAAAGTTTGTTTATTCAAAACCTGTCAAAGAGTCCAATTCACTTCGTTGCCTCTTCAAATACTTTGTAAAGGGTTCCCATTCATCTTTAAAGTCACAGTTATCCTTGTCCCGTAGCTTATGTGTTAATTTTGCCAGTTCTGCATAGTCCATCAGTTTTTCTTGCCATGATTCCTTAGTTGGGATTTCTTCAGTCTTCCATCCTTGTGCTATTAGGACTCTCGCGGGCATTGTCACATACATGAAGTTGTTTTTCAGCTTTTTTGGCAGGTCTTTCCCTACAATCCCTAACAAAAATGCTTCAGGTTTTTTGACAAATATTAGATGGAACATTTTCTTCAATTCGTTACAGATCATTTCCCAATTTTTTTAAATTACATTACAATCCCACCACATATGATAAAATGTCCCCTCCTTTTCCTTACACTTCCAATATATATTTGAACTAGTTTTGTACATTTTCCCTAACTGCACTGGTGTCACATACCATCTGTACACCATCTTCATACAGTTCTCCTTCAACAGGGAACAGCCTGTAAATTTTAAATCAGTTTTCCATAATTTTTCCCAATCTCCCATCATAATGTTGTGACCTACATCTTGTGCCCATTTGATCATGACTGATTTTACCTCTTCATCTTTCATCTCCCATTCTAATAGTATGCTGTATGCAGCCTTCAGTAATTTCACTTTCCCTTCAATCACTTCCGTTTGAAACCTAGATCTTGTGTAGCTAAATCCTTTCTTACTGTCTTTATATGTTTCATATAATTGTCGATAGTGCAGCCAACTCTGAAAGTTGGTCCTTTAATAAATCATGGTCCTTTAATAAATCATTTTCCTTCCTTTCCTAGTGGTTTGAGCAGTAATGCTTCATGTGGTGAAAGCCACCACGGGGTCTTTTGTCCCAATAAATCTTTGTATCTCTCCCATACTCTCATTAATGATTTTCTAATTATATGGTTATAAAAACTTCTATGCACCTTTCCTTTCCTGTACCATAGATATGCGTGCCAGCCAAATCTGTTGTCATGTCCTTCTAATTCTAATGCCTCTTGCTTATCCAATCTCATCCAGTCCCTGATCCATACCAAGCAAGCAGATTCATAATACAATTTAAGGTCTGGGAGGGCAAACCCGCCTCTATCTTTTATGTCTGTAAGTATTTTATGTTTTATCCTTTGCCTTTTGCCCCCCCCCCCCCAATAAATTTTGAAATCTCTTTCTGTCATTTTTTTAAAACATTCATCTTTCAGGATGACTGGTATTGATTGAAAAAGAAATAGCATTTTTGGCAACACATTCATTTTGATCACCCATATTTTTCCTAACAATGAGAGATTCATTCTGCTCCATATTTCTAAATTTCTTTTTACCCCAAGTCAAATTTTTTCATAATTATTTTTAAATAGGTTTATATTTCTTGATGTTAACCAAATCCCTAAATATTTGACCTTTTTATGGACTTCAATCTCTAGCTCTTTGCTCTAGCTCTCTACTTTGCTCTAGCTCTTTTCCCCCGTCTTCTTTTAAATTTTTAACTAATAGTTTAGTTTTATTCCTATTTAACTTAAATCCTGCCACTTCCCCAGATTTCTGATTTTTTTCTATTACTTTAGGGACTGAAGTTTTAGGTTCTTCCACTGTTATCACTAGATCATCTGCATATGCTTTTAACTTGAGTTTGCTTTTCCCAGTTTTTACACCTGTAATCTCTTTGTCTGCTCTTATATTTTTGGCAAGTACTTCCAGGACCAGGTTAAACAATAATGGTGATAATGGGCATCCTTTTCTCGTTCCTTTTTGGATCTTTCAATCATCCGTTATTACCTGATTTATAATTAATTTTGCTTTTTGTTCTGAATAAATTGCTGCTATTCCTTTTAAAAATTTAGAGCCGCTTCTAATTTGTTCTAGCAGCTTTATCATAAACTTCCAAGAAACATTATCAAAGGCTTTTTCAGCGTCTATAAACATCATAGCCGCTTTCTTTTCATTTTTAGCCTCCAGGTATTCTATTATATTCAAAATATTCCTTATATTCTCCTTCATTTGTCTTCCTGGTAAAAACCCGGCTTGATTTTGAAGTATGTACTCATTTAATTTTTTAAAAAATCTGTTGGCTAAAATATTTGCAAACAATTTGTAATCATTATTTAACAAGGAGATAGGCCTATAGTTTTTGATTTGCAGCAGATCTGCATCTTGTTTCGGGATTACCATTATATAGGCCTGTTTCCATGTTTCCATGTTTTGCCTTATTCATAACAACTTTCAATGGGTTCACTAATTGTTCATTTAGTTTCTTGTAATATTTTGCCGTAAAGCCATCCGGGCCTGGAGACTTGCCATTTTTAGAGCTTTTTATTGCCTCAAGTAATTCTTGCATTGTTACCTGGGAGTTAAGAATGTTCCTTTGTTCCTGCCAAAAAAAGCTGAAAAACATCTTCATGTATGAGACAACGGCCGCGAGAGTTCTGGTAGCACAAGGATGGAAGACTGAAGAAATCCCAACTAAAGAATCATGGCAAGAAAAACTGATGGACTATGCAGAATTGGCAAAACTGACATACAAGCTATGGGGCAAGGATAACTGTGGCTTTAAAGATGAATGGGAACCTTTTACAAAGTATTTGAAGACAAACAAAGCGAACTGGACTCCTTGGCTGGTTTTGAAGAAACATAAACTTTTTATTGATAATAATCAGCTAAATAGTTTGAGGATGTATACAACTGTGTAACATGCAGAAAACAGCATTTTTAGAGAAATCAAAGACTGGAACTGAGGGAAGTCGGGGGGTGGGGGTGGGTGGGTTCTGTGGGGGGAGGAAGGAAAAATAGGGGTGGGGGAATAAGGATGATATGTTTCTGGAAAATATGTTCTGTTTTAATTAAGAGTGGAGAAAACACTTTTAAGCTCTTACACCGACGGCATCTAACACCACAAAAATGTAATCACATTCATTTGTCTTCACCTGCACTTTCTTGGAGGGGTTTTAGTGTTGTCGGCCCCTGTTCCATCTGTGGTGCACCTGTGAGAAAATAAGGCATTTCTGCTTTGATAAATTAGTCTCATTACATATCAAAGCAGTTTCATGTGTTGTGCAACTGGCTCTGTTTCTCATGAACATTGAAAGAACTTGCAACCTAAGAAACTAACCACATTCCGTCCTGTGCTGGCCTTGCAGGGTTTAACATGGATTTGGAAGAAATTGGATCAGTTGCAACAGAAAATATGGACCATTGTGTCCTACTTGAGTAAAACAGGGTAATTTGTTATTGATGAGGGGTTTTTAAATTTTGTAAGATGTTATTATAAGAAGAAGGAAAAAATGCCCCCTTTCCCTTATGGGGTACCCAAGAGCCCATATACAGTGGTACCCCGCAAGACGAACGCCTCGCGAGACGAAAAACTCGCAAAACGAAAGGTTTTTTCGTTTTCGAGTTGCCTCGCAAGACGAATTTCCCTATGGGCTTGCTTCGCAAAACGAAGCTTGCCCAGGGGACAGCGGGTCTTCTCTTTTGAAGCAAGGGGCGGCGGGGAGAAGCGATCTTCTCCCCGCAGCCCCAGGTCCGGGGACAGCGGGAAGCGCTTCCCGCTGCCCCCGGACCTCTTTTGAAGCAAGGGGCTGCGGGGAGATCGCTTCTCCCCACCGTCCCTTGCTTCAAAAGAGGTCCGGGGACAGCGGGAAGCGCTTCGCGCTGCCCCCGGACCTCTTTTGAAGCAAGGGTTTGCGGGGAAAAGCGATCTCCCCGCAGCCCCTTGCTTCAAAAGAGGTCCGGGGGCAGCGGGAAGCGCAGCGCTTCTTCCCCGCTGCCCCCGGACCTCTTTTGAAGCAAGGGGCTGCGGGGAGATCGCTTCTCCCGGTGCTCCGAAGCCGGGCGGGGGGGAGGGAACACCTGCCCCCACCGCCCGGCTTCGGAACGCTGCCCCGAAGCGGGGCGGGGGGCGGGAACACCTGCCCCAGCCGCCCCGCTTCGGAACGCTGCCCCGAAGCGGGGCGGGGGGGCGGGAACACCTGCCCCAGCCGCCCCGCTTCGGAACGCTGCTCCGAAGCGGGGCGGGGGGGGGGGCGGGAACACCTGCCCCAGCCGCCCCGCTTCGGAACGCTGCTCCGAAGCGGGGCGGGGGGCGGGAACACCTGCCCCAGCCGCCCCGCTTCGGAACGCTGCTCCGAAGCGGGGCGGGGGGGCGGGAACCTCTCACCCCGCTGCCGGGCATCGGAACGAGGTCCTGGACCTCTTCTGAAGGCAGGCGGGGGCAAAAGTCTTTGCTCCCCCCGCCTGCCTTCCCGGGACAGCGGAGACTTCTCCGCTGCCCCGGGCGATCTTAAAATGCTGGCGGGCGGGAGCGAAGCGTTCGCTGCCGACCCCCAGCATTTTAAAATCTCCTCGGGGCAGCGGAGACTTCGCTCCCGCCCACCAGCATTTTAAAATCGCCCCGGGACAGCAGGGGCTTTTAAAATGCTGGCGGTCGGCAGCAAAGCCCTCCTGTCCCCGGAGCTTGCGGGGCGGGAGGTGGGAAGAAGGGCTTTTCTTCCCACCGCCAGCCTTCAGAACAGCCTTCTGAAGGCTGGCAGTGGGAAGAAAAGTCCTTGTCCCCCCCCCCCAGCCTTCAGAAGAGGTCGGGGGACAGACTGTCCCCGGACCTGGTCTGAAGGCGGTTTCCCTAGGAACGCATTAATTGATTTTCAATGCATTCCTATGGGAAACCGTGCATCGCAAGACGAAAAAACCGCAAGACGAAGAGACTTGCGGAACGAATTAATTTCGTCTTGCGAGGCACCACTGTAGAGTCCTTTTTTAGGTTCTCTATCGGTAGGAGAAAATAAGAGGCCAACCAGAGAATATTGAGAAGCAAAGCAGCTAATAAGCATGATCTTTATTAACTGTTGCAACAAGGTGCTCACACCCCCACCCCACCCCTCGCTGCAGGTAGGAGGCACCCAGAACAATGGTGTGCAAGGCCTTATACAGACTTTTTAAAATTGCCACTCTGCAGCCCAATACCACCCCTCAATACATCATACATACATCACAGAAGGGGCGGTCTACAACAGAATCCTGTCTGGCAGGAAACCTGTTGATGGGTTTAACTGGCTGTTTACCTGGAGTACCTGGCCATCCTTTTGTGATGATAAATGCTTAATTCCGGAGTGCAGGTCACAGGCTCACCCTATTCATATCTTAAATGTGCCCTTAAGGCAGGATTTGTGAGCAAAGAGACAATGGGGAGGTTTTTCCCATTTCCTCCCTCCTTGCAGAGAAACATTTGAGGTCAATTTGGGAGAGACAAAATGGTTTCAGGACTTGTGTTGCGAAGTCACACTGCCTAGGCTAGTGCCATGGAGAGGTCACAGTGCTGCTAACACAGCAGTTTGACTTTATCCCTGGAGACACATTCCACACAGATGGATGCCAACAATAATAGTTAAGTAACTACGTCATTTTGCAACAGCAGAAAGTTGGACAAATAACATAATATTTGATGGAAGATGACCTTGCACCTGAACAGAAACAGTACTGAATGTGAAAAGTTACAGAACAGGAAATAAAGTTATGCCTTCTTACATCCCTAAATGCAAGTCATTAGGGATGTAAGCTCTGATCAGCTTGTTAGGGTGTGTTGGCAACATGTGCACTCGATACTCTAGTCTATTTCATCTCTGGGTCCTCGTTCCCATCCTAACCATAAATCTCGGATCTCCTTTGAAAACTTAATAAAAACCCAGCATCAAAAAGATTGGAGTCCATCAGGGATCGGACCTTGAGCAAGTGCAATATGTGGTGCAATAATGACAAAATAAGGCATATGAACTGTTGGCTGCTAATGCTGAGCTTGCACAATATTTGAGCTGCTGCTTATGTCTATAGATGTAGATAGGATCCTACTGTTCCTCTTTATTTAGTTGTTTAGTTAATAAGAAGCTAGCTGGAGCTATTATTTATACGTCTTTTAGCTTGCCAAGCAGCTCTTTGCTTCATGCAAAATTTCTCCTTCCCCTCAACAACACTGCGAGGAATGCTAAATAAAGCGGTGGAAACATAAAAGGTCTTCCAGTGAACTTCTTGGTGGAGCAGGAATTAGAAATATCCTCCTCCAAGTCCTGCCAGGGGCGTGTATGCATCCTAATGCTTGAATTCTTTTTCCCTGCAGGTTTCAGCCATGTGGCTCTACCTGGCTGCCCTGCTGGGGCTTTACTTCCTTCGCCGATGGTACAAGGAGAGACAGACGGTGGGGAACCTGACGGAGAAATATGTCTTCATCACGGGGTGTGACTCTGGCTTTGGAAACCTACTTGCCAGGCAGCTGGATGCCCGGGGCCTGCGGGTGCTGGCAGCCTGTCTCACGCAGAAGGGGGCAGAGCAGCTGGACAAGGCCACCTCAGAGCGCTTGAAAACCACCATTCTGGATGTCACCAGCACAGAGAGTGTGGCGGCAGCGACGGAGTGGGTGAAAGGGTGCATTGGGAACAAAGGTGAATCTCTACCTTCCTTGTGGTGCCTCTGTGCTATTGGTGGGACGGGGGATTAGAATTGCCTCTCTGTATTCATTTGTAGGCCACTTTCCCCACATAATTGTGCCCAAAGTGGCTCACAACGTGTAAAAGAAAGAATAAGCATAACAATTCAGAAAATACCTTAGAGATAATCATTATCAGCATTCAATAATAGATCTCAGAACCAGCTCCAGACATTTGGGTGCCTGGGAGCATGGGACACCCCCTCTGGGAATCCCGGGAACTGTCGTTTGTCAAGGATGCTGAGTTGAAAAGTTGAAACAACACTCCAGCTTGACAGATATTTTCTCTAGTCTTTGGGGTTCCCAAGCCCAGTCAAACTCTTGATGTGGGGAAAGAGAATTGATTGTTTTAACTGCAAAGGGGAAAGAAGAAGAATGATGTGAAAATAGAAAGGCAAATTTAACAGAGAAGGGCAGGGGCATTTTTGTTGTTCTTTTGGTTACTTTTTAAATACTGTATCACTTTTGGGGTTTTGCTGCGGGAGGAGTTTCTGAATGCAGCAAAACTCTGGGCAGCAGCAGCGTGGCAACCCCAGAATCCCAACCCACAACCCACAGCAGCCACTGTGCCACACTCTAGACCCCCATGCAGCCCTATGTCCCCCCTACAAGGGCAGACCCCCCCCCATGCTGCTGCTGGGCAGGAAAGAAACGGAGAGAAAAGCAAGCAAGCTTTTTCATTGTGATTGACAATGGATTATTTTTTTGGGGGGGGGCTTGTATGCAAATCAGCAGCCTGCCACCACTGTAGCTGCTGGGCAAATTAGCAAAGTCCTTTCCCGGATCTCATCCTTTGCAAGTCTTGCTTTCACCGCTGCCAGGCATACACAAATGTCTGCTCCGCTGTTACAAGGAAGGCATTGCTGGCTTGGCTGGAGAAACTGCCTCTCACTTCTTCCTTGCCCTCACCTCTGCCCACCCACAAGGAGGGTTCTCAGCAGCAGCTTGGCCAGGTGACCTGTGTGTCTTGGTGGGGTTTCCACTTGTCCCTTGTAATAGGGGATTGCCCCTTATTTCGAGGGAAAATGCTGCATAATAATAATAATAATAATAATAATAATAATAATAATAATAATACCTTTATTGTCAATGTACAACCTGTGTACAATCAAATTAACCGAGCCTCCCCTCCCCCCAAACACTCAATCTCATTGCACTCTGTGTGCTTGTCGCAGAACACACCAATCCCGGAAGTCAATTGCACTATATTATTTTCCGTTCAGCAGCCTAACAGTCCACAGATAGAAAGTGTTTTTTAGCCTGTTAAGGGATGTAGTTTGACCCTTATGTCTGCCTTACTTTCTCCCCGTACCCCAACCTCCTCTGCTGAGCTCAGCTGCTCCCTCCCATCTCTACCAGAGCTGCTGCCTCTCTCCTGCCTGTCCACTTTCCATTTCTCTCTCTTCGTCTCCCCTTTTCCCTACCTTACCCCTCCTGTTACACTAAATCCAGTCAGCGACACAGCTGCGGCCCAATGGAAGGCAGCAGAGGATGGCGAGTGTTTGGGGATGGAATGGAATGTGGGTCCTCATTCCTTTTACATGCTTCCCTGACCCTGTTCCTTTACAGAGGGGTAGGATGGACATTTCAGACCTATTCTTTAAGTACCAAAGAAAACCCCACCCCCAGAAAACCCACGAAATTTCAAGAAACTGTCACAATCCTAAATTTACTTTCAGCCTGATCCTTTGAAAATAGAAATAAGTCCCAATTAGTTCCGTTTAATTTACTTTCAAATAGGTACGCAGCTAATTGAAGCCTTAAAATGGTTGTTGTTTTAGTTATTTCAATAAATTGATGCCTAAGCACAAACAGTCTATTCATGTGATGGCCTTATTTGTTAGGGTTGCTAATAGGAAAAACATCTGTTCTTTCTCACAGGGCTTTGGGGCTTGGTGAACAACGCAGGCACAGCTCTACCATCAGGTCCCAACGAATGGCTGACCAAAGATGACTTTGCAAAGGTGATCAATGTCAACCTTCTTGGGATGATTGATGTGACGCTACACATGGTGCCTCTGGTGAGGAGAGCCAGAGGGAGGGTGGTCAACGTGTGCAGTACGATGGGACGCCTGGCCTGCTTTGGAGGTGGTTACTGCCCATCCAAGTTTGGTGCGGAAGCCTTCTCTGACAGCCTGAGGTAAACAGAGCAGCTCTTTAATGTCCTCTTCTGCTTGCTTTAGTGCAACATCTGCCATACTCCCTAACCACTTGCCAGGCTGGAAGTGGCTGATGCGAGTCCTCCTGGTTTAGTTGCTAAGTCTGGGGAAAGTGGGCTGCAGGGAAGAAAGAGCTGGGAAATATGGCAGCTGCCCAGGGCTTTGCCCAAGACTCGCACAACTTGAGATGAATGTATCCAGGCACAGGCTATGCCCACATCTGGCCTTGAACCAAACTTTTCAAATCACAAGCCCACAATTGGATGTGTGGCTCTCAGTCCAGGACCTTCTCATTAATGGTGAACATGCTATGGATGTCCCCCTGTTTTCCTTAGAATAGTTCGGGCCCAACATGCTTTATAGAAATGTTGGTTACCATGTTGAAAAGTGTGTGCTTTTTCCAACTATTTAAAGGTAAAGGGACCCCTGACTATTAGGTCCAGTCGCGGACGACTCTGGGGTTGTGGCGCTCATCTCGCTTTATTGGCCAAGGGAGCTGGTGTACATCTTCTGGGTCATGTGGCCAGCATGACTAAGCCGCTTCTGGCGAATCAGAGCAGTGCACGGAAACACCGTTTACCTTCCCGCCGGAGCAGTACCTATTTATCTACTTGCACTTTGATGTGCTTTCGAACTGCTAGGTTGGCAGGAGCAGGGACCGAGCAACAGGAGCTCACCCCGTCGCGGGGCTTCGAACCACTGACCTTCTGATTGGCAAGTCCTAGGCTCTGTGGTTTAACCCACAGTGCCACCCATGTCCCTTCCAACTATTTATGTACCACTTAATTATCAAAGTGTGGGACTGAGCAGTTATCTGCAGATATGCAATGCCCAAGCTCACGTAGCAGGGAGTTCACTTTGGGGCTGCTAACATTGCGGTTTGACTTCACCCGCAGAGGCACACTCCATTCTCTCTTGATGCCAACAGCTAAGCTGTGAATGTGTAGCATTCGGAGAGAAATTCTGTGTGACATCTTCTCATGGTTGTTTGCACTGTAATTTTTTTCTGCACAAAGGAGGTTTGGCAAAACCCTTAAATGCTCCTTTTTTAGAACACGGGGTCCCAGAACCCAAAGAACAGGGTCTTGTTCCTTTGCTACAAGTGGCCTGCCTTGTTCCTCTTAACAAGAAGACTGGGCAGAGATGGCAGAGGCTGCAGGGAGGAGGGTGGGAAGCAGCCCTGGCAGAAAAGGCTCCTTGCTCTCAGCAGCAACTTTCCCCCACTAGGTTAAGGTCTCCCTTCAGGAAGGCATTTGATGTATCAGCGAGACTTTGAAGCATGTCCCAGCTAGACTGGGGTAGTCAACCTTTTCATACCTCCCGCCCACCAATGCATCTTTCTTGATGGTAAAATTTCCTTACCGCCCACCAGTGCTGGATGGAAGGAGGATTCAGCTTGTGCCGTAGAATCCCCTGCCACCCACCTAGAATCCTGAAATGCCCCACTAGTGGGCGGTAGGGACCAGGTTGACAACCCCTGAGCTGGACTTTGAAGCATGTCCTCATGACTGTCTCTTAATACAACTGGTGCTGTGTCATACACAATCCTCTCCTGGGTGGGGCGTATCCTGGCTCCTGCAAGAGGGCAGAAGGCAGGGGAGCTGCATTTCCCATCTTTTCTTTCTCCTCAATTTTCTTTTTTTAAAGAAAGATGTTCCTATCCATGAACCCAAGTTCCTGACCTGCATTCCTGCATTCCTATGTCTCAGTAGGCAATGATGTTTCTTCTTGTATTCCTCTGCATTTCAGGCGAGAGCTCCATCCTTTTGGAGTCCAAGTCAGCATTATTGAACCTGGTGGTTTCCAAACAACCATTTTCACACAAGCAAAAGAGAATTTAAAGAATGTATGGAACCGAGTGCCGTCTGACATCAAAGAAGTCTATGGGAAACAGTACTTGGAGAACTGTGAGTAGACGTGGAGGGGATTTCAGCATGGTTTGCATTTTACTGCAAACTTACCCAATTCACACTTCATGAAACAATATATTAACCAATACATAGCTCTGCTTAGGAACTCAAACTCCTCTAAATTTAGCAACTAGTTCTATAAACCAGCAATGTGTACAAAAATGTGCATATTAGAGAGAAATTGGCATCAAAAGTATACACAAAAACGCACTAAGCAAATTGACCACAATAAACAAAAATGCACTATGCAAGGAAATAATGTTTGCGAAAATGTGTATATTGTGAAAACTGAAATGCTGATGACTTTCAAAAATCATAAACTGAAATGCAGAGAACCAAACTGAAAGATTTTGGGCATATTGAAACTGAGAGAAACCAAAATGGACAGGTTCGTCCATTGTAGATTTAAATCTTTTGAGAATGTGTTCTGCTTTGAAGCCTCCAAAATAGTTCCAGATGCATCTGCTTTGATTTAGTTCTTCTGGGGAGAGGTATCTAGAAGCTAACCAGTCCATTCAGCTCCCAAAAGATTTAGGTTACCTCCTACATTTACAGCACTAACTTCTGTTTTGCTCCATATTTCTCACACACAGATTGCAAAATTGCCCAAGATGTCTTTAGCACTTCCAACAGCAAGCTTCACCTGGTCACAGACTGTATGGAACATGCCCTGACATCCTGCTACCCTCGCACTCGCTACTCTGCAGGATGGGATGCAAAGCTCTTGTACATTCCTGCCTCTTACTTTCCAACGTCCATCGTTGACTTCGTGGCGAGCTGCATTCAGCCCAAACCTGCTCAAGCAGTATAGATTGCATTGAAGAAAAACCTTTACAGTTGTCCAAATGAGCCAACAATCTGTGGATGGAACACAAGCCTAACTGCATCTTGATGTTTACGTTTTTATTTTTCTTGTTTATGCAAAATAGAAAATGCAAAAACAAACAAACTTTTGCCAGCAGTTTGTTTCAGACTAAAGAAAAGAAGAAGAAAAAAATTAGTTATATTGCCAAAGGGAAAGCCAGTAGATGGTGTTCCTGTTTTCAGTTTAGCTTATACTGTATGTTATGGCTATCGGGCGGTTGCTCGAGAGAGATCAGGCAAGATGCCTCCACTGGTCTTTTCAAAAGCTTTATTATTAGTGCTAAAACCTTTACACTGCAGAACGCCTCTTTCCATGTCTTGCTCACTCACTAGCAAAATCTGAGAGTCGGCGGTCCTTAAACTTTCCCCAGCAGAGTAGTTTCTTGACTCCCAGCCGATGCCTCCCCTCTCTGCGCAAAAGCCTACTGCGCAAGGAAGGCTTGGGTAAAGGGGGACCTCCCTCCTCCCCGCTTTGATCAGGCAAGGTGTCCTGGCACTGCCTTGCCTCCTTCGAGCCCTGTAGCTCCTCCCCACTAGAGGTGTGGCTTCCTTCCTCTGCTGAGGAAGTGCTGCTTCCCATGATTTTTGAAGGCTCTCTGCAATCCATCTGCCTTTCCCCCGCTCGCCTCTGAGCTGATGGCAGTTTCCTGACATCCACCCCCTCCTCAAGACCCCCTCCCCGTTGGTAAGGTCTCTAACTGTCTCTTCCTCTCGAGTGTTGGCAGATGTTGGAGGAAAACCCCAGATAGAACAGTCATCATCCTCCGTGGATTCAAAAACTGTTTCCCATCCTCTCGGGTCCCTTCCAGCTGGTTGGCCGTCCCAGTCAGATTCTTCTCCCTCAGACAATTCCGCGACCCCGTGGCCTTCCTCCTCCCCTGAGGATGGGAAACCTACGAAGTCCCCTTCGTTGTCTGTGGGTCCGAACACCTCCTTCAAGAACCTCGCTTGGGGTTTAGGCTTATGTGGGAACAAAGCATGGAACTCCTCCACCAGATATTCCTCTGTGATGGATCCTGCAGGAACCCACGTGTTTTCTGAGCTGGGTTCTCCCTCCCAGGCCACCAAGTACTCTACCTGGTGCCCTCTCCACCTGGAATCCAGTATTTCCATTGCTTCATTACAACGTTCCCTCTCCTCTGCATGTGGATGAGTGGACATCCCTCCCTCCCTCCCTCCCTCCCTCCCTGGGAAGCCCTGTCCCTGCCTGTAATGTAAAAGCAGGGACCTATGGAACACCAGATGTATCCTCATGCTGTCCGGCAATTTCAGCCTGAAAGTCACTGGGTTGACCTGCTGGATTACCTTAAAGGGCCCCAGCCATCTAGGCTGCAATTTTTTGCACCCCTCTTTTAAGGGCAACCCCTGGGATGACAACCACACCCTGTACGACCTCCCCTGGCCTGCGGTGCCTGTCTGCCTGCCTTTTATAGACTTCCTTCACCCTCTCCAAATTTAGCTGTAGTTGTTGGTGCAAAGCCTCCATCCCTTCTGCAAATTGCTCTGCAGCTGGCACACTCCATTCCTCCTCTCCGTGCCCTGGAAAAGCCCTGGAATGACACTCGTAGTTGGCCATAAAGGGGCTCATCCCCATGGACACATGTTCAGCGTTGTTATACGCAAACTCAGCTAGTGCCAATTTCTCCACTGAATCATTCTGCCTCTCACTGACATAGCAACATAGGTACTGCTGCAATATGCTGTTTGCTCTCTCGGCCTGCCCGTTGGTTTCTGGGTGCCTAGCCGTTGAGAAGCTCACCTCTACCTACAGCAGGCTCATGAGTTTACGCCAGAATCACGAGGTAAACTGTCTTCCGCGATCAGATACAACCCTCAGTGGAGTCCCATGCAGCCTAAAAATGTGATCCATGAACAGCCTGGCTGTCTCCTCGGCTGACACCGCATGGGAGCAGGCCACGAAGTGACAAATTTTGGTCAGTAGATCGACCAACACCATCACCGCTGTCTTTCCCCTTGACTTGGGCAGATCTGTCATAAAATCAATGGACACCACCTCCCAGGGCCTCCCCGGTGTCAGTAAGGGTTCCTGTAACCCGCTGGTGCTGCTCTTTCCCCTTTGGCCCTCTGACACCTGCCCCACCCTTGGACATATTCACGTACATCCTCCCTTACCTTGGGCCACCAGAACTGTCTAGTGACTAGTAGCATGGTCTTATGCTGCCCAAAATGCCCGGCTGTGGGGTTGTCATGGAGCTGTCTGAGGATTTTGGCCCTCAATGGCTCTCCCGGCACATACAGTGCCCCTTTGTAGTACAAGAGCCCTCCTTTTTCCTTGAAACCCCCATTTCCCCCCTTTCCATCTCTGAGTTCCCTGATTTTAGTCTGAGCGAACTCATCGTGTCTGGTGAACCCCACCAGTTCCTTCTCCCCTGCCAGTGCTCCCCCAAATGAAGCTCCTGAAGCCAATCGGAAACTAATCGGAAGCCGCACTGGACATTTTAAAATCATTCCAGTTTTCGATTGTTCAGGAGCTGAAATGTACAAGTTCCAAAGCGTTTGGCAACCAAGGTACGACTGTACTTAAATTGTATATTAGCACCTGTTGCTGTTTCTTTGCTTATTATGATAGTAGTTAATAAAGCTTGCTTCTACTGCCTAAAAGTTTGGGATCCAAAGAACCCGCTGCTGCCTCAGGATTACCAGGGCTGGGTGGTCATTGGGGAGGCATAACCATTGGGCATTACACAGTTGTCCAAATGAGCCAACAAGCTGTGGATGGAATACAAGTCTAATTGCATATTTTAGGATCCTAATGAGAGGCAGATTCGGTCATCAGTACCTTAAGGAGAAGTGATTTATTATTATTATTATTCTGAATTATTATCTGACGCAGCTGAAACTGCAATGCTTTACCACTCATTTACCTAGGAACAAAACTGTGGGACTTCAGCCTAAATGGACATGCCGTGTCAGGCAAGCTTTTGAGTCACATGGCCTAGAAATGGTCATAAATGGTGCAACAAGAAAAAAATATAGAATCATAGAATTGTAGAGTTGGCTGGTACCCCAAGGGCCATGTAATCCAACCCCTGCAATGCAGGAATCTCAGCTAAAGCATCCATGACAGATGGCCATCCAACCTCTGCTTAACAATCTCCAAGGAAGGAAGGCACACTTGGCAAATCCAACTCCTGCTCAGAAAGCAATGTCCCCACTGTGGAAGGATGTGTGAGTCCAGAATTGGCCTCTGCAGTCATTTACGGACTCATTGTTAAAACCGTGTTTATGAAAGACAATCTTCCTTGGCTACGAGTGACCACCAAAGAAGAAGAACCCTTGTGGTGAGTCCTCGCCTCCTTGCTGGGGTGGGGAGTCTCTGGCACAACAGGAAAGTCAAGATCTTCCTTGCTTTCCTTCCACTGGGTCCTGACTCCACTCATTTTCCACTGACTTGGTGGAGAGTCAGGCTGTCAAAGCCAGGCCCTAGGACAGTTTTTGTTTTTATTACGCTTATTGTGTTTTTATCTTGCATTTTTATGTTGTGAACCACCTTGGGATCCAGTAGCATAGCTGGGGGGAGGGGGTGCCCAGCCCAGGCGGCATATACCTTTACGGGCAGCACACCTGGGCCCCAGGTGATGCCGAAGCCCAGGCGCCCAGCACCCCCCTAGCTAAGTTCCTGGGCCGGGTCTCCAGAGGCCGTCGCTGATGCTCCCTTTGACCTGATGGAGTCGAGCTGCTGGGGGCAGGGGGGCTCGGGGTGTTTTCCCCAAGGGAATAAAGTTTGCGAGGAAAGCAGCCGAGGCACCCGAAGTTCCCCTCCTGCTGCGGCTCCGAGCGCCCTGGGAGCGCGCTTGCTGGAGGAACCGGAGCAGGGAAACTTCTTTGCACCCATGTCTCTTCCTTTTGTACCCCTTTGCCATGTAACCTGTATGTAACCCAACCAAGTGGCAGTCACCAGCTGTAGGCGGGGTTCTTCCTTTCTCTTCAGTTGGAGGAACCCAGTTGCAACTACCTCGCTTTGTCTCTTTGGTTGCCAATTCCCGGCTTTTCCAACTGCATTCTGAAACTTGATATTGTAATTTCTTTGTACAACACTTCAATTCAAATTGGGCTTGGATTTCAGTTTCCTGGAGGGATGGGAATCTAGATTGGAGCAGCAAGGCTATTGAAATCAGTGGGGCTTTCTTCAATGTAAGTGGGGGCTCAGATTTCAGCATTAGCAAAGGAGAACCCCTTGGCTGCTGCTATATAAAATAAGGGTCTGGAGCCTAGCAAAATGGTTCCGTTCCTTTCCTAAAAATGACCCGCCTTTTCGCCACAACAAGTGGAATGGGCCGAGTGTGGGAATGTTCAGGGTGGCAGGAGACGATATATTGTTTATTAATATCCTTCCTAACTTGCACTATTCGGACGCAGGTGGAGCTGTGGTCTAAACCACAGAGCCTAGGACTTGCTGATCGGAAGGTCGGCAGTTTGAATTCCTGTGACGGGGTGAGCTCCTGTTGCTCGGTCCCTGCTCCTGCCAATCTAGCAGTTCGAAAGCACGTCAAAGTACAAGTAGATTAATAGGTACCGCTCCAGCGGGAAGGTAAACGGTGTTTCCGTGCGCTGCTCTGGTTTCACCAGAAGCGGCTTAGTCATGCTGGCCACATGACCAGGAAAAACTGTCTGCAGACAAATGTCGGCTCCCTCAGCCAGTAAAGCAAGAGGAGCGCCGCAACCCCAGAGTCCTTCGCGACTGGACTTAACTGTCAAGGGTCCTTTACCTTTTAACTTGTGCTAGAAAGTTCCTTTACTTACCAGAGTTTACATTCCCCTTCTCACGCAAGCAGAAATCTGGTTGCAATTCAGTCTCTGTGAGATTGAATTGTATGTTCCTGGAAAGACCCCATTTTAAATCCCTCCTAAAAGAATAAAGACACCACAGTCTTATTCATAAGCAATAAAAAGAAACTTTACTCAAGATCAGGCAGAGCATTATAAGAGAGATGACTTGGGCGACTGCTTGGCTGGCAGCCAGTTCATTCCAGGAAGTTCGCAGGATGAAAAGAAGATTGAAAAAAGAGAGAGTGGCAGCATGCATTGGCCCTTTACAAGGTCTTGAAAGGTCACGCCTACCCACTAGTCACATGCAAGGAAGGATGTTCCAGGCCAGCCAAAAGGAACAAGAAGTTTTGACTGGCTGGACCAAACATTCTCTGCATGTCCACTCTAGCAAAACAAGGAATGTTGTACTTGACTGCTCTCAGTGGATTGCATCCCACACAGAGGTACCAGAGGCTACAGATAGTTTTCTTTTATTATTGATGATTGTCTGATGCAGCTTAGACTCAAAACTTTACTACCCATTTATCTAGGAATAAACCTTATTGAACTCAGTGCCACCTACCGTAAGACTGAGTGGCCAGACACTTTCTGCCACACCTTTACCTTACTCTCCAGTCAAGTGGAATTGAAGGAGTTATAAGTGGTGTAAAAAGATAAAACATCTTCTTTCATTCCCCACTTATCTGTTTCTAAGGAGGTTTATTTGGAATCATTCTTGCAAAGTTTGGAATTGACTTAGAACCAGCTGTAAAGAACCAAACAGGGACTCTTCACTTTAGTCTCCTTTCCCCACAAAAATCCTGGGAACTGCGGTATAAGGATACTAGGGGTAACCTGTAGTTCCTTGGAGCAGAGGAAAGATGTGCTCCCCACAAACCAACTGGAATGCATATTCAATTAAAGCTGGTTATAATCTAAACTATGTGTAAGCTTTGTGCAGGTAAAGTAGGTCACCTGGAGGCCAACAGGCAGTCCCAACATTCCTCTGTTTCAGCAATTGCCGGGACATGTCTGCAGTACACAAACTCAGGCAACTTTAGAACCAAAGCTGCAGGGCTAAGCAGCAAAATCTGAGTTTATAAAACTTGAAGGAGCAGCGCATGGGTGTTGCACAAGCACTGGTGTCATCAGTTTATCAACCTGGTGGTCTTTCTGCAGGGCCTATACATTGCCGCCCCCCCAATTCTCCCTTCACCATGAATCTTCTGGTTATCCTTCCCCCATCCTTGAAACGTACCTAGATCTGTACTAAGCAAGAAAGAACAGTGATCTTCACCACTCCTTTCAGTTCAGAATGGTTTCAGCACTCCAATTTATTGGAACCTACACTATGTCAATATACTCTTATATTATTCTTATTTTATTATTATTTATATGCCACCCTATACCCAGGGGTCTCAGAGTGGTTCACAGAATAAAATAATATAAAACCACAAGAGACCCAATGACAATAAAACAACAGACCAATAGCCCCCTTCCCGCCCCCAGCTCATTTTAAAAGGGTATAGGATGTAAATCTGATCAGCCAAAGGCCTGGTTGAAAAGGAATGTTTTTGCCTGGCGCCTAAAAATGTATAATGAAGGAATGAACTTCCCTGGGGAGAGCAGACGGGGAGCCACAGCAGAGAAGGCCCTGTTCTCATGTTGCCACCCTCTGAACCTCTTGAGGAGGGGCACACAAAGGAGGGCCTCGGAAGATGATCTCAGGGTCCGGGTGGGTTCATGTTGTTGTAAACAAAATAAATCTGCCCTTTCCCCCTTATGGGGTATGCAAGAGCCCTTATAGAGTCCTTACGTGGGTTCCCTATTAGTAGGAGAAAATAACAGAGGCCAACCAGAGAATATTGAGAAGCAAAGCAGATAGTAAGCCTGATCTTTATTGATCTGTTGCAACAGGCTGCTTCCCTCACATACAGGAAAGGAGGAGGACCTTGAACAATGGTGCAAAAGGCCTTTTAAAAAGGTTACCCCTGCCCGTATGGGCCAGTCTTGCCAGACTCTAGGGTTGTGCGCCCATCTCACTTAAGAGGCCGGGGGGCCAGCTCTGTCCGGAGGCACTTTTGGGTCACGTGGCCAGCGTGACAAAGCTGCATCTGGCGAGCCAGAGCCGCACACGGAAACGCCGTTTACCTTCCCGCTAGAAAGCGGTCCCTATTTACCTACTTGCACCCAGGGGTGCTTTCGTTTTTTTTTTTTTAATAAAATTTTTTATTGCTTTATTTTCCAAGGTCAGAATACATCGTCAATAACACAACAAAAGCTGTTTTACAAAAAGAAAGAAGAAAATCAATAAAAGAAAATTCCTTTTTCCAAATCTTTTTCCATCATCAACTGGACTTCCCCACATCCTCCATCCCTGCTTTCTTTACAATAAAAGTAGACAGCAAATTAATACCTTGTTTCATGTGTTTTTGTATTTTCATCTAATTATTTACTCTAGAATTTAAACTTTTCTCGGTCATAACTTAGTTTCAATCATTTCCGAATCTCAATACTGAAGCATGTTTTTCTCAAAACTTAGCAAATTCTCAGCATTCATATAGCTTATAATGTTTTTGTAAATAGTCCTTAAATTTTTTCCAATCCTCTTCCACTGCCTCTTCTCCCAGGTCTCGGATTCTGCCAGTCATTTCAGCCAGTTCCATGTAGTCCATCAGTTGCGTGTGCCACTCTTCCAGTGTGGGTAGCTCCTGTGCCTTCCAGTATTTGGCTATAAGGATTCTTGCTGCTGTAGTTGCATATAAAAAGAAAGTTCTATCTTTCTTTGGCACTCTCTGGCCTACAATGCCCAGGAGGAAGGCCTCTGGTTTCTTATGAAAGGTACACTTAAATACCTTTTTCAACTCGTTATAAATCATTTCCCAAAAAGCCTTCACCCTCGGGCATGTCCACCAAAGGTGAAAGAATGTTCCTTCAGCCTCCTTACATTTCCAACATTTATTATCAGACAGATGATATATCTTTGCAAGTTTGACTGGGGTCATGTACCACCTGTACATCATTTTCATAATGTTTTCTTTTAAGGCACTACATGCCGTAAATTTCATGCCGGTGGTCCATAACCTTTCCCAGTCTTCAAACATAATGTTGTACCCAATATCTTGTGCCCATTTTATCATGGCTGATTTAACTGTCTCATCTTGAGTATTCCATTTAAGCAACAAGTTATACATTCTTGAAAGCACTTTCGTCTTAGGTTCAAGTAGTTCTGACTCTAATTTTGATTTTTCCACCTGGAAACCAATTTTTTTGTCCTTTTTAAAAATCTCTAAAATTTGGGCGTAATGAAACCAGTCTCGCACCTTTCCTTTCAATTTTTCAAAACTCTGCAACCTCCAAGTGTCACCCACTCTTTCTATTATTTCACAGTATTTTGCCCAGCCACCCCCCATATTAAGTATTTTTGTGGCCTTAGCCTCCATCGGTGATAGCCACCTCGGAGTCTTGTTTTCAACACCCAGGGGTGCTTTCGAACTGCTAGGTTGGCAGGTGCTGGGACTGAGCAATGGGAGCGCACCCCGCCGCGGGGATTCGAACCGCCGACCTTTCGATCGGCAAGCCCTAGGCACTGAGGCTTTTACCCACAGCGCCACCCGCGTCCCTCAAAAGGCCTTATATAGACATTTTAAATTCCCTGCCCTGGAGCTCAAGACCACCCCTCCATACATCATACATGCATCACAGAAAAGGTGTTCTACAAAAGAAATTTGAATGTTCTTGTTTTTCCTGCCTGCCATGTTATCTGATAATGCCTTATCTGATTGCCTTTCCTGGTAGTCTGTCATCCCCTCCTTTGAGATGGTAATTACTAAATTCCTGTAACAAACTCCTCCCTCCTTGCAGGGAAACATTTGGTCGACTTGGGAGTCAAAATGATTTCAGGACTGTCTTCCTGTGCTGCTTCAGACAATGTGGTTTATATATTTACGGTATGTACGTGTTTGCTTGGTACATTTATCAACATTTATTATATATCTAAGACCTTATTCCAATGTGGAAATAGGCAGTCCTTTAGGTATTGCAGTCCTGAGCTATTATACCATTTTAACAGCTTGGGAAGTGTAGTTTAAGGGTGCTGGGAATTGTAGCTCAGTGGACATAATTCTAGTCTATCATTCTGGACTTGCTTTTTATCGACAGGGCCTCGGGTTTTGAACATTTTGGAAGCCAAACGGGTTTCCGGAAGATATTTCGTTTGCGAACCGAGGTACCACTGTATTAGAATTCATGCACCAAAGCAAGCTGGCTGGGTCCAGCCTCTAGGTGAAATTTTGCAAGCACTCTGCCCATCTTTCTATCAGCAGGAGGGATGTGCTTCCACAAGAAAGATACTCTCAACCCCAGGCTTTCTTCCTGCTCTAGACAAATGATTTATTTGCTCTATCCATACATGAACAGAACACAGGGGAAAGGGGCTGGATGTGTGCCACGGAGCTCTGCAATGGGAGGGATTCGGTGTGTTTCTTTCACCAACAGATTCCCCAGTTAGTTTAAAGAAGGCAGTTAAATTTCACCACCTAATTGGGTTAAACCAATCCTTGCCAGAAGGGAGGAGCTCCCTTTGCAGCCAGTGGAGTATGAAAAAAAGCAGCAGGCAGATAAGGAGCAACTGTAAATCGGAGAAGAAAGCATTGCTTTTCCTGCCGTACAACTGAAGCTGAGAGCCTTTCCTCTAACCAGCTGCAGGTCTGTCTCTTCCCTTTTCAATTATACATGATAGTTAGTAACTTCCAGTCACCACTAACATATGCTCATAACAACTTTATTTCAAGCGAATATTCAGTAGGTGACACTTTTCTCAAGCTTCAGGCTGGGGGAGGGGAAAAGCTTCACTTCCTGAATTTCTTCTTCCTTTGCACCCCTTAAAGGCCCAGAAACATTTCCAGAAAAAGTTCAGAACTTTAAAAGGTACAAGATCAGCCCCAGTCTCATATCTCTTCCCATTCAAGGAGATAAGAAGTTAGCACTTAGTAAAAACACAGCATCAAAAAGATTGGTGTCTATCAGCTACAAAATATTTAGTGACATTTGACGGGAACAGTTTGTTCCTACAAAACAAGCCTGGGAATTAGACCTTGGAACAGTTAGGCTGCCTCAATGTTCTGTTTTAATTAAGAGTGGAGAAAACACCTTTAAGCTCTTACACCACGGCATCTAACACCACAAAAATGTAATCACATTCGTTTGTCTTCACCTGCACTTTCTTGGAGGGGTTTTAGTGTTGTCGGCCCCTGTTCCATCTGTGGTGCACCTGTGAGAAAATAAGGCATTTCTGCATCAATAAATTAGTCTCATTAAATGACAAAGCAGTTTCATGTGTTGTGCAACTGGCTCTGTTTCTCATGAACATTGAAAGAACTTGCAACCTAAGAAACTAACCACATTCCGTCCTGTGCTGGCCTTGCAGTGTTTAACATGGATTTGGAAGAAATTGGATCAGTTGCAACAGAAAATATGGACCATTGTGTCCTACTTGAGCAAACGGGGTAATTTGTTATTGATGAGGGGGTTTTGTAAGATGTATTTTCTGAAACTCAGTAAAACTTCCTTATTATTTTTGAAGAGGAAATCAGTTATGACCTGCGAGGTGCTAACGCTGAGCTCTCTTTATTTCTGAGTTGATCCAGTGATTGCAGGGTTCACTAGTTGCCTGGAGGCGGTTGGAGGATGGATGGCGGCTAACAGATTGCGGTTGAATCCTGACAAGACAGAAGTACTGTTTTTGGGGGACAGGGAGCGGGTTGGTGTGGGGGATTCCCTGGTCTTGAATGGGGTAACTGTGCCCCTGAAGGACCAGGTGCGCAGCCTGGGAGTCATTTTGGACTCACAGCTGTCCATGGAGGCGCAGGTTAACTCTGTGTCCAGGGCAGCTGTCTACCAGCTCCACCTGGTACGCAGGCTAAGACCCTACCTGCCCGCGAACTGTCTCGCCAGAGTGGTGCATGCTCTGGTTATCTCACGCTTGGACTACTGCAACACGCTCTACGTGGGGCTACCTTTGAAGGTGACCCGGAAACTGTAATTAATCCAGAATGCGGCAGCTAAACTGGTGACTGGAAGTGGCCGCCGGGACCACATAACACTGGTTCTGAGAGATCTGCATTGGCTCCCAGTACGTTTCCGAGCACGATTCAAAGTGTTGGTGCTGACCTTTAAAGCCCTAAACGGCCTCGGTCCTGTATACCTGAAGGAGCGTCTCCACCCCCATCGTTCAGCCCGGACACTGAGATCCAGCGCCGAGGGCCTTCTGGCGGTTCCCTCATTGCGAGAAGTGAGGCTACAGGGAACCAGACAGAGGGCCTTCTCGGTAGTGGCGCCCGCTCTGTGGAACGCCCTCCCATCAGATGTCAAAAAGATAAATAATTACCTGACATTCAGAAGACATCTTAAGGCAGCCCTGTTCAGGGAAGTTTTTAATATGCAACGCTGTACTGTTTTTAACACTGATTGGGAGCCGCCCAGAGTGGCTGGGGAAACTCAGCCAGATGGGCGGGGCATAAATAATAAATTATTATTATTATTATAGTTAATAAGTCACTGCCAGTCAACAGAGCAAGGAGTCCCTCCCATTTGTTTCCAGCATCTGGTATTCTGAAATATGCTTTGTCTTGTGTTGCGAAGTCACACTGCCTGGGCTAGTGACATGGAGAGGTCATAGTGCTGCTAACACAGCAGTTTGACTTTATCACTGGAGACACATTCCACACAGATGGATGCCAACAATAATAGTTAAGTAACTACGTCATTTTGCAACAGCAGAAAGTTAGACAAATAACATAATATTTGATGGAAGATGACCTTGCACCTGAACAGAAACAGTACTGAATGTGAAAAGTACAGAACAGGAAATAAAGTTATGCCTTCTTACATCCCTACATGCAAATCATTAGGGATGTAAGCTCTGATCAACTTGTTAGGGTGTGTTGGCAACATTTGCACTCTATACTCTAGTCTATATAATAAAAATACCTTTATTGTCATTGTACAACCTGTGTACAATGAAATTAAACAAGCCTCCCCCCCCCAAACACTCAGTCTCGTTGCACTCTGTGTGCTTATTGAACAACACACCACCTTGCAAGTCATTTTCATTATGTTATTTTCCATTCAACAGCCTAACAGCCCATGGATAAAAGCTAGTTTTTAGACCAGGGGTCAGCAAACTTTTTCAGCAAGGGGCTGGTCCACTGCCCCTCAGACCTTGTGGGGGGGGCCGGACTATATTTTTTTGGGGGAAAATGAACAAATTCCTATGCCCCCAAAATAACTCAGAGAAGCATTTTAAATAAAAGGACACATTCTACTCATTCTGAGTCCCGGACCGTCCGTGGGCTGGATTGAGAAGGCGATTGGGCCGCATCCAGCCCACGTACCTTAGGTTGCCTACCCCTGTTTTAGCCTGTTGGTACAACTGATTATACTTCTATAATCAGAGGTGATGGCTGGGGTGTGAGTCATCCCTGAGAATTTTTCTTGCTCTCCTAAGGGAACGATCCCTTGTGATGTCATCTAGTGGACTCAAGGGACAGCCCATGAAATCATGTGCTGTATTCACCACCCTCTGTAGAGTCTCTGTTCATCTCTGGGTCCTTGTTCCCATCCTAACCATAAATCTCTGATCTCCTTTGAAAACTTAATAAAAACCCAGCATCAAAAACATTGGTGTCCATCATCTGCAAAATACTTAGCGAAACTCAGTTGGGAGAGTTTGATCACACAAAACAAATCGGCGCATTAATGACAAAATAAGGCATATGACCTGTTGCCTGCTAATGCCAATATTTGAGCTAATATTTGAGCTAATGCACTATATTTGAACTCAGTGTTGCTTATGTATATAGAGGTGAAAGGTAAAGGTAAAGGACCCCTGGACGGTTAAGTCCAGTCAAAGGCGACTGGGGTTGCGGCGCTCATCTTGTTTTCAGACCGAGGGAGCCGGCGTTTGTCACAGACAGTTTTGTGGGTCATGTGGCCAGCATGACTGAACCACTACTGGCGCACGGAGGACCGTGATGAGTGCCAGAGCACACAGAAACACCGCTTACCTTCTCACCGCAGCAGTACCTATTTATCTACTTGCGCTGACATGCTTTCGAACCACCAGGTTGGCAGGAACTGGGACAGAGCAACGGGAGCTCACCCCATTGCACGTATTTGAACCTCCAACGTTTTGATCAGCAGGCCCAAGAGGCTCAGTGGTTTAAACCACAGCGCCACCCACTTCTTATGTATATAGATGTGTATAGGATTGTCCTCCAAGCAGCTCTTTGCTTCATGCAAAAATTCCCCTTCCCCTCCACGGCAGTGCGAGGAAGGCTAAATTGAGTGGTGGCAACATAAAAGGTCTTCCAGTGAACTTCTTGGTGGAGCAGGAATTAGAAATCTCCTCCTCCAAGTCCTGCCAGGGGCGTGTATGCATCCTAATGCTTGAATTCTTTTTCCCTGCAGGTTTCAGCCATGTGGCTCTACCTGGCTGCCCTGCTGGGGCTTTACTTCCTTCGCCGATGGTACAAGGAGAGACAGACGGTGGGGAACCTGACGGAGAAATATGTCTTCATCACGGGGTGTGACTCTGGCTTTGGAAACCTACTTGCCAGGCAGCTGGATGCCCGGGGCCTGCGGGTGCTGGCAGCCTGTCTCACGCAGAAGGGGGCAGAGCAGCTGGACAAGGTCACCTCAGAGCGCTTGAAAACCACCATTCTGGATGTCACCAGCACAGAGAGTGTGGCGGCAGTGATGGAGTGGGTGAAAGGGTGCATTGGGAACAAAGGTGAATCTCTACCTTCCTTGTGGTGCCTCTGTGCTATTGGTGGGACCAGCGCGGGATTTACGTATAGGCTAAACAAACTATAGCTTAGGGCCCCACTCTCTTGGGGGCCACAAAAAATATAAAGGAAAACAACAACTGGATGTACATTTCCAAAATATAAGATAAAAAACAAATAAAATAAAACCTACATACAGCAACAGTGTTTTGGGTTGTGTAGGCTCCTATGATGTAAGTAATGGGCCCCACCTGCTAGCCTGTTCTCTAAAATATCACTGGTTTGCTCATATCTATATCAATTACTTTGATAAAATACATATTTTGTTATGTGCAAATGGCTTTAGATACCTATTAGGTCCATAAATTACCATATAGCATATATTCAGCACAAAAAAACAGCTACTATTTGTTGTTGACAAAGGACGGCTGGACATATAAGGGGTCCCATTACCTTCAGTAGCTTAGGGCCTCATCAAACCTAAATCCAGCCCTGGGTGGGACCAGGGATTAGAATTGCCTCTCTGTATTCATTTGTAGGCCACGTTCCCACAAAATTGTGCCCAAAGTGGCTCACAACATGTGAAATGAAGAATAAGCATAACAATTCAGGGAAAAAAATAAAAGGAAGAATTCCATAAGTAAACACAAACAATCTATGCATGTGATTAGCTTATTTCCAACTTTATTGAGCTCTGCTAAGGTTGCCTCAGAGGATGAACATGCCTTCTTTCTTCACACAGGGCTCTGGGGCTTGGTGAACAATGCGGGCATAGGCACCCCAGCAGCTCCCAACGAATGGCTGACCAAAGATGACTTTGCAAAGGTGATCAATGTCAACCTTTTGGGGATGATTGATGTGACGCTACACATGGTGCCCCTGGTGAGGAGAGCCAGAGGGAGGGTGGTCAACGTGTGCAGTACGATGGGACGCCTGGCCTGTTTTGGAGGTGGTTACTGCCCATCCAAGTTTGGTGCGGAAGCCTTCTCTGACACCCTGAGGTAAAAACATCAGCTCTGTAGTTTCTTCTTCTGCAACATGCAACCACCAGATGGGTCATTCCATATCAAGTGATCCAACTTTTTTGTCCCATGTCACCCAACTTTCTTCATATTTTGTACACTTGTTGATTGAACAAAACTAAGTTTATAACTGAATTTTTAATTTTTTTATCTCATCCCATTTTTGAGTTATGAGGGTTTGAAATTTGAAAAAATTGACAATTTTGGCCTTGCCAGACTACACAAAAACCTTAAAAGCTCAGACCAGAATTGAGATACGTCAAAAGCGAAAACACCAATCTCTTCAGAACTGCATGGGATTTAATATGATATATGATGGACTTAGTTTAACATTAAAATTTAAGTTATAAAATTATTTTTTTTAAAAAACGATTTAAAAATATTTCCATTTTTTTTTCTTGGGATCTCAGTGGGATCACATTTTAAAATAATATTTGTACATACATGTCTGCCTTATTGGGTTCTAATTAGGATAAATGGGTCTTCTGTTATATTCTGGAAATTATAATGGAATAAACAAAATTTCAAACTATATTATCAGGCATTTCTTTAGAAAGTCATTCAATTAAAAGGTGTCTGAAAAGCTAACCAGGCTTTTCTTTTAAACGTGTGTTACAAAGCTGAGTGATAGCTTGCTATTGATGATAGAATTAATGCTTTGAAAGAATTCTTGTTAGTACTTCATTTCATGAACATTAAAACAAAATACATATCAAACAAAATTATGAAAAAATAGGTTTTTTTGAATTTGCAAGCCTGAGATAGGATGTGTGGCTCCCAGCCCACTCTTGCTGTCCATGCTCTAGATCAGGGGTCTGCAAGGTTTACCCCGCCTTGGTCGGATCACTCAAGCAGAGAACCCTCCTTGGGCTGGATCACGAGTGTGTGATTGCGTGCCCGTGATTTCCAGCATCTGCGCAGACGTGATTTCTGGTGCCGCGGGAGCGAGTGCCCGTGCCGCACAGAGCACGGGGACTCGCCGAGCGGGCGGCTCAGTTCGTGGGTGGCTCATGGGCTGGTTAAACGACCCCCGTGGGCCGCTTGTGGCTCATGGGCCTTAGGTTGCCGACCCCTGCTCTAGATGGTTTTGTCTAGGTCCTAGGCCAACCTGCTTGGCCGCGTTGCTGGTGTCACTTAGGAGAATACGATACAATACCTTTATTGTCATTGCCCCATACAGAACAATGAAATTGAAAATCTACATAAAATCTACATTCAAAACCCCCTAAAAACTCTGAAACCCCATTTTAAAATACAATATACTCCTATAAAGACTCCTTATACTGCGTTTAAAACCAGAATTGCATTTGGGTAGAAACTGTTTCTCAGGCGGCTAGTCCTGGCCTCTATAACCCTATACCTTCTTCCAGAAGGCAGAAGCTGAAAGAGATCATTTCCGGGGTGCGCACTATCCTGCGCTTTCTCTGCAGCTTTCTTATGGCACCTGACAGCATAGATTTGATCTAAGGTGGGAAGAGTGTACCCAATTATTCTCTCCGCAGTCTTTACAACCCTGGACAGCATTGTTTTTCCCCTGGCTGTGCAGCACCCAAACCACACACACAGACCATAAGTTAATACACTCTCCATAGTACAATGGTAAAGTGCCATCAACAGGTCCTTTGGGAGATTGTTTTTCCGGAGGATTCTCAGCAAAGGCCTTTGAGAATAGAAGAGCCCAACGTGATTTGTAGAAAAGTTGATTATGGTGTTTAAAATGTGCGTATTTCAACTATTTATATACCACTTAATTATCAAAGTGTCGACTTGCTGAATTGATGGCATTAAGATCAAAAGTCTGCTTGGGCAGAGCAGGGCCAGGCTCACGCAAGAGGGCAAAAGATAGGGGACTACATTTCTCTTCTTTTCTCTCTCCTTTCCCCCCTTCTTTTCAAAAAGAAAGGTGTTGCTTTCCACGGATCCAAAAACATGACCTGCAATATTACTGTGCCTCAGTAACAAATGATAACTCTTTACTTTTCTTCCCCAATTCAGGAGAGAGCTCCATCCTTTTGGAGTCCGAGTCAGCATAATTGAACCTGGTGGTTTCAAAACACCTATTTGCACAAAACTGGTAGAGTATTTTCAGACTGTATGGAGCCGGGTACCTTCTGACATCAGAGACACTTATGGGCAGCAGTACTTCGAGCAATGTGAGTAGAGATGGGGGAGAAAATCAGTTCAATTTGCATTTTAATGCAGACTCGTTTACAGTTCAAGAAACAATAAGCGAACAGCTTTCCTTCTGAATTTGCACTCGCCAAAATTTCGCAATGCAGTCTGGAAGCACCTGAAGGTTCTTTTCTTTGACATCCAAAATAGTTCCAGATGTTCCTCCTTTGATTTAGCTATCATAGAGAGAATGCTCAGAAGATTAAATTTGCCTCCTGTGTTGCTGCAGATTCAACTGTTCATTTGTTTCTTTCTCTCACACAGGTTGCAAATCGTTCCAACAACTCCTTGATGGTTGCAGCGACAAGCTTCACCTGGTCACCGACTGCATAGAACATGCCCTGACATCCTGCTCCCCTCGCACTCGCTACTCTCCAGGCTGGGATGCAAAGCTCTTCTACCTTCCTGTCTCTTACTTGCCAACCACCATTGCAGACTATGTGTTGACCCGCTCTGGGCCCAAACCAGCACAAGCCGTGTAGATGATTGTGAAGAACAACATGACAGGTGGCCAAACAATCTATGGATGGAACATTGAATCTTTTAGGATCCTATTGAGATGCAGGCTTAGTAATCAGTAGCTGTAAAGAGAAGTGGTTTTATTTTTCTTTGATTCTCTACTATTGGCTGATCTAGGAATAAGCCCCATTGAACGCAGTGCAACTTACTGTAAGTGGACATGCATTGTATCCTTATACAGTGGTACCTCGGGTTAAGTACTTAATTCATTCCGGAGGTCCGTTCTTAACCTGAAACTGTTTTTAACCTGAAGCACCACTTTAGCTAATGGGGCCTCCCGCTGCTGCCGCGCCGCCGGAGCACGATTTCTGTTCTCATCCTGAAGCAAAGTTCTTAGCCTCAGTTGCTATTTCTGGGTTAGCGGAATCTGTAACCTGAAGCGTATTTAACCTGAAGCATATGTAACCTGAGGTACCATTGTAGTTCCTTGGAGTGAGGGAAAGATGTGCTCCCCACAAACCAACTGGAATGAATGCCCAAGTAAAGCTGATTATAATCTAAACTACGTGTGATGGGATGATGAGCTGCTTGTGCGTAAAATCTTAGTCCCTCAGAGTTTGGTTAAGTCCGCAAACCTCTGTCCATAACGGAGCCCCTTAAGCATGGCTCCGTCAGTCGCTAGCAGAATCCGACAGTGGGCGCTTACGGAATCTCTTCCAGCATAAAAGCTCCTTAACGGAAACGCGTCTTCTGGACTCTCGGCGCGACAGTTTCCGGCGAGGAGTGGGTGTCCCTATAGGAGGTCCTGACACCTCCCCACTGTTTTCGCTGGAAGTGTCTCTGAGCCATCCCTCCGACTCACTTTCCCTCAGAGCTCCTTCTCTCCCCCTGCTGGTTCCCTCTTCAGCTGCTAAGTCTCTCCCAACCTCTGTGAGCCCTTCCACCTCCTGTCCTTCCGATGGCAGTTCCCTGACACTACGTGTAAGCTTTGTGCAGGTAAAGTAGGTCACCTGGAGGCCAACAGGCAGTCCCAACATTCCTCTGTTTCAGCAATTGCCGGGTCATGTCTGCAGTACACAAACTCAGGCAACTTTAGACCCAAAGCCGCAGGGCTCAGCAGCAAAATGTGAGCTTATAGAACTTGAAGGAGCAGTGCATGGGTGTTGCATGAGCACTGGTGCCATCAGTTTATCAACCTGGTAGTCTTTCCGTGGGGCCTATACATCCCCTCACCCCCCGCTGTTCCCCCCTCAACATGAATCTTCTGGTTATCCTTCCCCCTTCCTTGAAACGTACCTAGATCTGTACTAAGCAAGAAAGAACAGTGATCTTCACCACTCCTTTCAGTTCTGAATGGTTTCAGCACTCCACTGGGCACCAATTCCACTGTCCATTAATTGACACCCACACTGTGTGTTTGAAAGGCAGCCTGGGAAGTATAGTTTAAGGGTGCTGGAAATTGTAGCTCTGTGAAGCCAGCTCTCTTAGCAAACCCCAGTTTCCCAAATTCTTCACTAGAAGCCATGGCTATTTAGAGGGCTCTAAATGTATTCTGTGGGTGTAGTGTATGTTAATGGGTTTATAATATTATTATTATTGCTGTTATAGATTAAGAATAATTGTTTTGTTTGTTAGACTTCATCATGATGGCCCATTTGCTTCTTGTCCCCTGAGGTAGAACCAACATTCTTGTACAGGTATGGAAACCTGTCTTTCCTTTGCCTCCGGTCGCCTTACCTTTACTCAGAGGGCTGAGGCCTAGGGCACCAAAATTTCCCATCCCCACAATGGCCTTTAGAAATGATTGCTCTGCTGAGACACCAGCAGATTCTATTTATCATCTTGCACAAGACCCTGGCACCATACCAGTTCTTTCAGTTTCCTGCCAGTAAACATTTGCCTGAGACTCATTTAGTGCTGGGCCATTCATTCCAGGAAGAAGTCTTAGAAAGAGTGGCTGATAGGATTAATATGTGCAATTACAACTTTTTGGAGAATTACAGCTTTGGGCTGCAATGACAGCCAAGCCAACATAAATAAATGGAAGCGCTTTATGTAACTTACTGGATCAGCTGATTGGAAGCAGAATGAAAGTCGCAAAAAAAATGGGGACACAATTTTGAACTGCCGTCGACGGGCATTCAGTTTTTAAGAAGCACATTATGTTTCTAATGAATCTTTCCAGATCCAGCAAGACTTGGAGCATTCATATCTATTATTGCCATCTGAAATTACTGTAAAACATTGCATAAGAAAATGGAAGCATGCACAAATATATAAAATTGCAGGGAAAGAAAATAGGAAAACCAGACACATAGACAAAACCACTTTCTAGCTACTTTTGCCTCATCCGAAACGGAATGCTCATTACATTTTTGCAGGCGCAGGAGGATTGTAAACTAGCTTGTGTGCTGTCTGTCTTTTGTTACTTGACACAAAAGACAATAATAATATATTTCTGGAGTTACCACATCTTGTAGGCTTGGGAGCTCTTCTGGTACAGTAGCTGGAATAGTGGATGGATCTGAGGTGGAAAGACCTGGACTTGGTTCCTCCACCTGATTCGCTTTGCTTTGTTGTACTTTGTTGAGCCAGTGTGGTGTAGTGGTTAAGAGTGGTAGACTCGTAATCTGGTGAACTGGGTTCGCTTCCCCGATCCTCCACATGCAGCTGCTGGGTGACCTTGGGCCAGTCACACTTCTCTGAAGTCTCTCAGCCCCACCTACCTCACAAGGTGTCTGTTGTGGGGGTGGAAGGGAAGGGAAAGGAGAATGTTAGCCGCTTTGAGACTCCTTCAGGTAGTGATAAAGCGGGATATCAAATCCAAACTCTTCTTCTTCTCTTCTTCTTCTTCTTCTGTGCCTCCTTTCATTCAAATGAATCTCAAAGAGGTTTACAAACCATAAATAACAGTAACTTAATGAAACACAATATCACAAATACTTAGCTATGAAGTGTTCAGGGGTGAACTTGCACCTGTTCCTATCTCATAGATAATGGATGATAAATCCATTCTGGGATATTCCCTCTTAGGATGCTATTCTAGTTTTTTTGGTACCTTGGAAAGCTCCCGAGTTACCACAATAACCTTCACCCCACTCTGGTATTGGTGTTGTGGTTTTGGCTGCAGATGCATGAATTGAATCTATAAGAAAGAATGATATGGTATGCACTGTGTCACATAAGTGGGCCATGCTGAGAATTTGCTTTAGGCTCTAGTAATGATAATAGGGACGCGGGTGGCGCTGTGGGTTAAACCACAGAGCCTAAGACTTGCCAATCAGAAGGTTGGCAGTTTGAATCCCCGCGATGGGGTGAGCTCCCGTTGCTCAGTCCCTGCTCCAGCCAACCTAGCAGTTCGAAAGCACGTCAAAGTGCAAGTAGAGAAATAGGTACCACTCCGGTGGGAAGGTAAACGGCGTTTCCGTGCACTGCTCTGGTTTGCCAGAGGCGGCTTAGTCATGCTGGCCACATGACCCGGAAGCTCCCTCGGCCAATAAAGCGAGATGAGCGCCGCAACTCCAGAGTCGGCCAAGACTGGACCTAATGGTCAGGGATCCCTTTACCTTTACCTTAATGATAATGGGGGGAAAAAACTGTAGCCCCAGCCTCTACCCCTTTTTCTTCAACCACACTGGTTTAGCACTACTTTACTCCCATTTTTGGCCATGCCACACCTTTTCTTTAAATAAACAGAAGTGATCTCATACTGTATATATTCTTGCAAAGAAGCTGGTAAAATGTGGGCTGGATGAGATAACTGTTAGGTGGATTTGTATCTGGTTGACTGACCAAACCCAAAGAGTACTCATCAATGGTTCCTCATCATCCTGGAAAAAAGTGACCAGTGGGGTGCCACAGGGTTCTGTCCTGGGCCCGTTGTTCAATGTCTTTATAAATGACTTGGAAGAAAGGATTGAGGTGATGCTAATCAAATTTGCAGATGACACCAAACTGGGATGGGTAGCTAATGCCGCAGAAGACAGCATTCAAGATGACCTTAAGAGATTGGAGCACAGGGCCAAGACTAACAAAATGAATTTCAGTAGGGACAAATGTTAGTTTTGGTCCTATGCTACCCCTCCCAGTTTGGTGTCATCTGCAAATTTGATGCACCAACATAATAAGATGGGGGACACCTAGGCTGCTAGAAGGACATGCCAAAAGGATTTAGGGTTCTTGGTAGACCACAAGCTTAATATGAGTCAATTCTACTCATATTATTCTATCCTGCATCAACAGAAGTCTAGTGTCCTGATCAAGAGAAGTAGTATTCCTGCTCTATTCTGCCTTGGTCAGACCACACCTGGAGTCCTGGGCACCACTATTTAAGAAGGACATTGACAAGCAGAAACGTGTGTAGAGGAGGGCAACCAAGGTGATAAAGGGTCTGGAAGTCAAGTCTTATGAGGAATGGTTGAGGGAATTGGGTATGTTTAACCTGGATAAGAGGAGACTGAGAGGAGATATGATAGCCATACAGTGGTACCTCGGGTTACAAACACTTCGGGTTACAGACTCCGGAAGTAGTACCTTGGGTTAAGAACTTTACCTCAGGATGGGAACAGAAATCGCTGGGTGGCAGTGGAGGCCCCATTAGCTAAAGTGGTACCTCGAGTCAAGAATGATTTCAGGTTAAGAACGGACCTCCGGAACGAATTAAGTTCGTAACCAGAGGTACCACTGTATTCAAATATCTAAAAGGCTGTCACATGGAAGATGGAACAAGCTTGTTATCTCCTGCTCTGGAGGCTTGGAGCTGAACCAATACTTCAGTCATCAGGAAGAACTTTTCTGACAATAAGAGCTGTTTGACAGTGGAATGGTCTCCCTTGGGAGGTGATGGACTCTCCTTCCTTGGAGGTTTTTAAGCAGAGGTGCGATGGCCATCTGCCTTATATGATCTAGTTGAGACTCCTATAATTCTGCGATTCTATGTGAAGTATCACTGAACATGTTCAGAGTGCCTTTCCTTCAATCACACCAGATGAATGAGCACAGGAATGGATGATACATTTCCCTAAAAGCTAAACAGAAAACACACACTTTTTTGGGTATGCTGCGTTAGTCAGTAAACAGCCTAAAATATTTTAAATGGGTAAAATGTCCGCATTAAGAACCTATTGAATATGCATGCTTACTGTTGTTTTAAATCAATATATTTTTATTAAAGATTTCTTAGTTTACAAAAAGACGTGCATTGTCTCTTTTTTCAAGTGGTGTTTTCCACAGATCAGTTTCATTTGTTGTGAGGCATTAGTGTTGCATGCAGTATCAGGTTGGGAAGAAAAGGGGGGAAGGGGAGAGGGTGGTG